GAAGGAGAGAGCATAAACAGCACAGAGGCAAAGCTCTGGCTGCTGTCGGCACTGACTCAGCTACAGCTGCGGGACAAGGGGGTCGTTGTCCCTCTGCACACTGGCTCTGCGTGGAGGTGTGGGTGGCTGGGTGGGCTGTACCGTCCTCACCAAGTCTCCCATCAACTGTGGGAGGACAGAAAGAGTGACACCGGGGTGGGGGGGGTGGGGGGCACCCAGCAGGTGTAGGGCAGGGGGATGCCGCGACCTACACACAGCCATCCTCTGCGGGAAGATGCTCAGCACCAATCTGTCTCCATGGTCATGCTGTTCCTAGTGCTGCACATAGAAGTGGAGGAGGGAGGAAGCAGAAACTGGTACTGCCTCCCCATGAGGGTTTAGTTTTATCACCAGCCATAGCTGGGAGTGAGGGTCAGCCCAAGCTGCAGGCTTACACCATGGGAAAAAATTCAGATCTGGAGAAATCTGATGTTCAGCTTAGATTTGAGCTATTTGACTTGAATCCATCTCTATGTATGGTTCAGTCATACACAGACACCTTTTAAAGGTTTCTCAGTACATGGGTAAAAATTAAAGATGTCTTTAAAAAAATCAGGAGTCTGTATTTTAAAAAGAAACCATTCATATGTACCTAAGTTCTGTGGATTTGTTCTGTAAAGAAAGACAAACAAATTAAATGAGATACCAGCTAACTCACAGGGAAAAGACAGACTAGGGAAGGCACAGCTGCAGTACCTCTGCCCGGGGAAAGTCTCCTGCAGCAGTTGAGAACAATCACATAGAGGCACAGAGACGCCATACCATGAAAATCAGCCAAAAGTCTTGTTTAAAATGCCTATTTTAACACGTGATCTTTTTATCCCCTTTTATTTTCTTCCTTTTTTAACTGTACAAGATTTGGGGGGGGGGAGGGGAGAGCTTTATGCTTCTGGTATGCATGTGTGACCACAGGGCAGACCTGGTTGCCCAGCTGCTAACACCTAATGCCAGACTTTCAGCAGGACACAGCTCCATTTTAAGTCAGTGGAAACTCAGAGCTGCTAAAAGGAGAGAGACATTGATTGCTTTAAAATCACTGGGTTTCTGTGTATAATTCGTACTTCTATATAGATGTTTATCTATCTACTCATCTATCTGAAATAGCTGAAACCTGGGATTGGGCATTTTGACATAGCTGGGTTTCTCAAGCTTGGTTCTGGTATGGTGGGTATGAATTGCTCGTAATAGAGATGCTCTTGTAAAGCAGCTACCAAAGTGGCCAGAAACAAATTAAAAGGCACGTAGAAAAGTTATCTAACTGGCTAGCTTTAAGGTTAAGTTCAATTTTCTTTTTATTTTAAATCCTAACACACTGAGGAAGGATCTTGTAGGAAGCCGTATCTGAACCTCTTCTTGCTGCTAAGTGCCCTACATAAAGGCAGGCCCAGGTTTGGGTTTAGCTTGAGTCTCTTCACAAAATCTTGCTTTTGTAGGGCCTCAGTGAAAAAACTAGCACTACTGGAGGGGCTGTTGTGATCTGGATCCATTGCACCAGTCATGGTGGTGTGCAGTAATTAGGCTTGGCGGTGGCCAAAATGACGTCACCAGCAAAAAAAGTTTGATGATTTGTTTGATGTTGAGTTTGATGGATGCTCAATTACACCAATGCTAAATGCCTATGACAAACCTCTCCCTCCAAAACCATGAGGTTCAATGTTAAAAACTTCTAAGGAATCACCCCTGCAAACACAAATTTCCAAGTGCCATGCGAGCTGTTGGGAGAGCAGCGCGACTTTCACTGGCAGGGTCTGCGTCTGCTCCGTGATTTCAGCTCTGTGTCTCTCTGAGTTTCCACTGCGTTCATCCAGGCAGTGTCTGAAAGGCAACAGCTAGCAGCCTTTTGGGTACAATGCACTTTTGTGGTTCAATTAAAAAGTTTTTCAGAATAAACAATAAGTTTGAGTGATTTCTTCACCTTACTGTCTTAAATGTTTTCTGTTAAAATAATTTCTTTCATGCGGGTATTTAAGGAGCCCTTCTGGTGTTGCCTCTGTTTAATAGCTTGCTAACTCCTACAGTACTGCCTACTCTAATTACTCCAATCTAATTAAGAGGGGGGAAAAACCAACATACTACTGAAGGGCTAGTGAGAACGGATAGTCAAAGAGCTGTAGGAAGACAAATGGGGATCATATTGGCAGGGTAATTTGCTCATTAGCACCTTCCCTCCCCAAATTAGCCTAAATGGAAGCAGAATGAGATAGGAAAGATAGAAACACTGATAGAGATAGCAGAGACATACTTAGAAAGACAAACTGATGTGCCATAGTTTCAAAGATCAAAAAAAGGTTACCAAAAAAAAAAAAAAAGGCAGAAGATCCCAAATCCAGTCTGCTTGGAAAGCAGAGAAAGCACCAGAAAAGTCCAGGAGAACAACACTAATGCCACAGAAAACCGGCACCCACTTCAGCCACGGCACAAAAAGCTGGTGGTTTGGCAGGAGTTTCTAGGGAGGTTGGTCTACCTTATAGGCAACACGAGCAGGGCATTTCTTTCCAAGGCCTAGAGGTGGGGACATGTGTCTCAGCATCTCATACATGTCTGTGTAACTGATGCGCCCGCTTGGAGTCAAAGGGAGGGAGGCAAAAGCAAGAGGACACAGAAATCAAACCAGACCGGGGCGGGGGAAGGAAGGGGATGGGGAAAAAGGCAACACAATGGAGCAAATGAAAAGGAGGAGAGAGAAGAGAAAGCAGACAAGAAAACAGAGATCCGGTTAATCAGATTTCTCAGGAAAACAAAACCAAAACAAGGAGGTAGGTAAATAGAAAGGTTTCTCCGCTTCCGTTGCTGTGTTTCAATGCCCAACGTCTCCTCATCACGGCAGGGAAATCCCGTGGCCGGAGCTGTGCCTCGGCACGTGGGTCCCTGTGGGGAATGATTGATGTCTCTGCTTGGGGTGGAGAAGGTGTGCGGAGGGCTCGGGTTTGGCTGGCTCTTTGCAGGGGTGGAGGGATGCTTCCCCTTCTCACCCCCCCAAACCAGTCAATCAAGAGGCTGTATTCACCATGCCAGGGAGAGCTGGTAGGCAGAGTTATGGGACAGAGAGAGATAGGGCTTAGAGAAAATATTCAGCTTTCCTTCAGTGAATAAAAAGTTTAGGTTTCAGGGTAGCCTGTGGGCTACGAGAGAAGCAAAAAGCCAATCCTGGTGTGTTCACTCAGGGGACAGACTGGGACTGCTCTGATGCCAAGCCAAGGGTGCAACTTTGCAAAACCTCAGCCAGGCTGAATTTCTGCTCCAGCCTAAATTCAGGTTTGACGAAACCAGAGCCCAGCACTCAATTTGCAGGAAGGTGGTGGAAAGGGGACCTGTTTCTCCCTTACATTTGGGGGGGCCCCTCTTTCATCAAGACAACGTTAACTGGTTGTCTCCACCACCACAGGCAGGTGGATGTCCTGCATGTTAGAGGGAACTGGGAATTGCAGAGATTTGGGAAAAGGCCCTTAGACCAGCTGATGGCATCTACCTTCAGCGCACATTGTTGGTAAATAAAATCCTGGCCTGAAAAGCAAGGGATGCAGAAACAGCAAGGAGTTCTCCTGCTTTGCCTTTTTCTGACTATTGAAACTGGGAGCATGACTGTGACAATCTCATTTTGTTTTCCCAGCAAGCTGCCTGCTTATTATATTGTGCAAATCTGTGCTGCCTGTCAACTGAGGAGACCTAAGTATATTGCAGCATGTTATTAATTAATGCTTAACCCCTGGAAAAGCAGGACAGTATTATCATCTCCTTTATACCAGGAGGGAAACCAAGACCTAAGCACCCATTTGAAACCTCTTTCTCAAGCAGGACAGCTACAGAAGCAGGCACTCACACACCAGCATGCTCCCCTGACATGGATCTCAATTCCTATGCAAAGCATTGATGCAGGAGGGGGTGGAAGAGAGAACTTACCCAGCCAAAAAGATCTATTCCTGTCTTTTGTAACTAATGCAGTTAAAATACCACCCAGGTTTTATAGCCCAGAGCTAATTTAAAAGCTGCTGAGACACAAATTGTAATTACAGCCAATGGCCTCTCTCTTCTGCCCCTGCTCCCTGGCTGGAGGTGCAGGGTCTCATGTCTTCTCTGCAATGCTTGTTAACTCTCAATCCCCAATCAGGTGTGGAAAACACCTGGGCTGGAGTGAAAGAGAAGAGTAAGCTCCATGCTGGCTGCTTCCACTTCTCTCTCCTTCATCTTCTGCTCTCCACGCACTGACTGCAAGAAAATCACTGCCTGTAACTGGGACCCCACTGAAGTCCAGTGTCATCCTGTGCTGATTTCTTGGCAAGATCTGTCCTTAATTACCCACCTCAGCTCCCAAGCACAGTATACTTTTCCTGTGCCATGAGGCAGGAGGTTTCACTGGATGTCCATCATAGCTTATGATCTCAGAGATGTAATTTTGTTCCTAAGGCAATCTCTGGCTGTTGCTGTTGTGCTGTGAAAAGCTCATCCCTTCATCTCCCCCCAGCCCAGGTAACCATGCCACTCTGCTGCCCAGCTAACCAGTGCCCAGATCAAATGTCTTTTCAGCTCAGGAAAGGGAAGGGTTCAAATGCTGGTCATTCAACTGGCGTGACAATGCTATGAAGCCCAAATAAAATGGACTTGCTACTCCCTAGAAATCTTGGGATGACATTTCTCTCCAGTATGCATATATAGAGAGAAAGTGCTCAGATGCTGTGCTGCTTTTCCCCAACACTTCCCACCTAGACCCGGCAGGAGAGAAGCTGGAGGGTTCACTGTCTCATAAAGCTGCCTGTCTCCAGCCAGCTTGGGTGTGGGAGTAGACAGGGAAGAGATGCATCCAGGGAAAAGGAGGCAGTCAGTCAATCATTCCTTTTTTCAGGCAAGGGGTTAGTTTCATTACAGTTTCTTTTCTGTACTGTTTGCGTTTGCACTTGGGGGTGGGTAAAAAAGAAACAAAACCAGAACTGAAAATGCTGGAGGGAGTCTCTGAAGTTCCAAACCTTGTATGCCACCCTATGAGGGCACTTCTTTCCTAAGCCCAGGGGTGGAGCAATTACACGTAACAAATTGTACATATCCTTATAATGAATCCGGCAACTGGAAAGAAAACATCAGATGTTACAACAGCAAAAACCATGAGGAATCAGTTTTTTCCCCAGGCAAACAGGAGAAGTTGGAAGGGCAAAACACACTGAAAAGCAAGGTTAGTCTGACAGCAACTGGGCTTGCAATGAAGGAGGCACTTTAACAGAGAGAGAGAGAAAGAGAACTTCCAACGGCTCAACAAAGTCTCTATCCTTGGATTTTCTTCTGTGAAACCTTCAGTGTCATGTGCAAGGCTTTCCAACCATTGCATTTGGTTACCTCTATCACTAATGTTTTAATTCCCTGTGCCTGAGCATCTGCCTACAGACAGCCTTTACCCACCACTCAGGTGTGTAGCAGCCCAACAAAACCAGAGCCTGCAGCACACAAATAGCCTATTTAATGGATTATTACTGAGATTCAAATTAGCTGGTTCAAAAGAGCTTTGGAACTTTTACCTTCCACTGTTACCACCTACGTAACCCCAGCAGGGCTGTACTTTGCTTCATGGGCAATAAGCAATTCGCTGGAAGTCCTGAAACTGCCATCTCGAGAGCTGTCTTGGCCATTGGCACTGGGAAAATCCAGCCTTTGTTACCAGTAGGTGAAATCAGATGCCTTGAGGTAGCTTTATGGTCAGTCTCATTAACTCCCAACAATATTTTCAGCTAATTTAACAGCAGGATTGGATTTCTTAATCTTTCATAAGTAACCAAATCATGTACAAAAAGAGCTGTATTGAACTTCAGAATGACCTCTAAAGAAAAGATGAGATGATTTGGCTTCACTATGTTTATTTTGGTACATTATATAAAGAAGTCTGGAATATTTTGGAATATCTCCTTCAATATTACTGCTTTTTTGGATGTGAAAAAATAAGGACTATTCAAAATCTTCACAATCAACTCAAAACTATTAATTCAGAAACAGATCAAATGGAACTGTGCAAATCTTGGCTGCAGGCCTAATTGTGGTTATAAAAAGTATATTGGTTTAACTGAGTCAAGAAGTTTACCGAAATTTTAGAACAGTTTTGTAAAACAGCGTGTAGTAAATACGTATGAGCAGTTCCCTGAGGTCTCTAAGAATCCATGGAAGGCTTGAAAACCAGCAGATGTATTGCATCAGAAGGTCATGGAAGCAAATCATGACAAATCATGACAAACAGGGATTCTTTCCCAGGTTGTTTAAAACTACTTGAGTTTTGTTTATTTTCGTCAGCATCCCTTTGTCTCAAATAGCTAAGAAAAAGCTCTCCCTTGGGAGCACCTGCCTCCTCCCGACCGCTGAAGGCGCTGCCAGTCACATCTTCCTCTGCTCTTGGGAGCAACTAATGCGAATGGGATGGCAAGACCAACATTTCCAGTATCTCTAAGGGCTATGCACTGGGAAGGGTGGTATAAGAGAGATAAAGCACTCACTTTATATACCTTGAACAAATAAAACCTCATAGAAATCCAATTTTCTTTTCTTTCCCAGTTCATCCTTAAATTCAGTGTTTTCACTGCTTTCCTGACTAACTTCCAGCCCCAGACCAAACCGCTGTGTACACCCCATTTCTCTCGCGCTCTCTTTTTCTGTGAACCCAAGGCTTCTGCAACCCCTAAATCCAACAGTTTCCCCATACTTACCCCTACTGAGTGTGACACATATCTAGAACAACAGCTGCTAGCTGCATTTTTTACTTCCTTTTGAATGTTTTTCCCCAGAAAAGTTTACAGAAAGTTGGATTTTGTAACAAAAACAAAGGTGATATTGGAAATATGTATGTAAATGCATACACATTAAGCCCACATTTAAAATATTATCTATATAACAAAAGCATAACAACACTTGTACTTTTTACCCATGCAGCATCTTTCATCGAGGGGCTCAAGCTACAAAAAGTGGACAAATACTGTAATTCCCTTTTCCTTGGGACAATCAAAGAAGAGACCTTGAGAGAGTCAATCAATTAGTGACAGATGGAAGTAGGAACCAGCTCACCTGCATCTAAGTATAAGATAACACTGTCTGGGAGTCTTCTTTCTTGAAAATTATGCTGTGGTGATTATTCATCATTCCCCTATGTTTGTCTATACTGGGAGCTGAAATGCTAAAAGGAGATGGCTCACATGGAAAACAAAAATTGGATCCACTTTTTCTTTCAGTGAGTTTGACCAGCTAGTGGAAAAAACAGCTAAATAAAAAATGGGTCCTCTAAAGCTCTGTGTCTTCAGATTGAAATGGGGTGTACTGCTGGGAGCAGTACCTTAAAAGGCAGGTTATTAAGCTCAGTCCATGGATAGCTATTGTGAAATGCCATGTCCAGAGCTTCACAAAAGTTCAGCCCAAATAATCACAAGATCTGTTCTGGCCTTAAACTGTGAATGGATTTCAGACTACTTTTAAATTGCGGAAATGTTAGTCCCACTTACAAAAACATAAGTGATTTCAGTGGAACTATTCACACACGGAAAATCCAGAACATGCACATGTTTTAGGATCAAGGCTCGAGCATCATGTCCTGGCTGTCCTTTGATTTGCAGTTCTGCCCCTGGTCACTCTGCCAACATCAATAGCTTCACACCAGAGCAAAACAGGAACAAGGTTAGAGAAAAACAGAATTAGGATCTTAATATATGACATATTCTGTATTAACAGCTCTAGAAGCGAAAAGGTTTGGCCCCTAAGTGACTCTCAAAATGTAACGTCTGCTCTCAGAATTAATAGAGCGAGCAAATCTTTCTGTAAACTTACTGCTTGTGCTTCTTATGGGTGGAAAGTTCCTGAACACATAAATGTTAAAAAACCACACTGATACTAATTTTTTCCCTTGCAGGTGTGTTACTCCTCCCACAGATGCTAATCAGAGCCAAGACTATTTTTCAAGGAGAGAACGGGCACTCCCAAGTTTTCAGGCTCATTGAGATTTTCTAGTGGTAAGAGATAGGACTGGATTTGAAAAAAGAAAAAAAGCTATTTACTGCCTGCCAAATACCCACAAAGGACTTATCTCTGTTACAGAGCACCTTGTAATGAAAATCTGCTTGGAGATTGCAGGCTGCTAGTATGTGTGCAGGATATATGCAGGCTTGTAGTAAGGATGGCTTTGAGCTAGTTAAAATCACACACAGTTCAGAGAAATGCAGTCATTTTGGAATAGGTTTACATTTAAAGTTAACCTAAATCAATTTAACTGAGATTTTAAAGCAGCTTAATTGCATCCTAGCAGGGAGTTTGAGATGCTGATTATACAAACACTTTCTGCATCTGTCTCTACTGAAGGGAAACAAAAAAGAGTGGAAAGACTGGAGGAGCTGGAGGCAGCTTCATTACAAATACAGAGGAGATTCATTGCAGAGTAACTCATGGAAGGAAAATGGATACAAAATCAGTAGGGCTTAAATAAAAAAAAGTCTCCCAACAGGCAAATTCCCAAGCTGCAGAACATCAAGGAAATTACTGTGACCTGTATCTTAGAGCATCTAGAAATGAAAACACAGTCACCAGGACTGTTGTGCAGTAGCTTCCTGTAGGCAATGGAGAAAAGCAATAGAGTCAGTCTTGCTCTAGAAGTGATCACTGGTCAGAGCCATTCCCTCATTTTAAAAAAATTCCTTAAAACGCTTCAGCAGTGGCTCTTGGGTCTGCCACAGCACAGTGCCACTCCTCCGCTGCCATGGTACCTAAGCCCAGGTGTGCAGCTTTCCCTGCAAGTGTCTTTGAATAAGAAAAACACAGAGATAAAACCATAAAACCAAACACCTCACCGTCTGGCTGTGAGAAAACCATTTCCTCCTTTAACACACTCATATATCAGGAACATTTTATCAGAGACTCACTGAGAACTGAAATGCTTCCAAAGTTAGGCTTATTGCATTTTCTTCTTATTATTTTGCACGTCTTATGTTTCAGCTGCAAGTCCAAAAGCTAAAATATTATTTAGAAGAACAAAATTCCCTTCTACAATTTGATGTCATTAGAAGGAGGCTTCCAAGATCAAAACATGGGGTTTGATGAGAAGTGTCTGTTTAAAAATCACGTTTTCAGCAAACCACTGTTACATTGAGAAACATCATGTCACTTCCTACTGCCTCACAGGTGGGTGAAAGCAAGTGATGAAGTCTGAGCCTGTAGCACTTGACTCAGATGCAAAGCAATGGAGTACATCATCTCCTTTTAAGGGAGAGAGAGCACCTTGAAAACTTGAAATTTTTTTGTGTGTGTCTTCAGGTCTCTGCACAGGATTTGTGAAACCATTAAGGTGGTTCTCAACTAGGAGACAAATGCTGCACAAATAAGGTATAACAAGGCCTAGCCTCCCAAGTTTCCTAAAGTACTGCCAGTAGCAAGAGATTCAGCGTATTTTTTTATCTCCAAAGTGGATGCCGAAACCAAAGGCAATCGAAGGTCTTTTGGAAAAGCTAAACAGCTTTTCTACTTGGCCATTTAGCCAAGATCATTTGAATTTACCCTATTAATTTTTGCCCCAGGATGGGAGAGGGAGGAGGGTGTGTTTTGCTTTCTTGATTTGTTGGTTTATATCTATCTTGTGTCTATTTGAAGGAAATGCCCTTGTAATGACATCAGGTTTGTTCATCTCCAGTGCACAGTGAATTGAAGTTTGAGCATTTACCACCAATGTTACCTCAAGCTTTGGAGTCGTTTTCCTTCTGGAGCCGTACTCCCATTAAAACAGGCTGTATGTGTGTACAGGTATGGTATTTCTACACAGTGTATATCCTTTTTCTCCACATATAATTGTAACAGCGTACATACCAGGCAGCTGGGTCATATTCAGCCCAGACACGAACAAACTCATCCAAATGATGGGGCCCAAGGATGGAGGAGTCTCTTGTCAGGTATTCAAAATTGTCCATAATCACAGCCACAAACAGGTTTAACATCTGCAGAGAGGAAGCAATAATGCAGTTAGAGAGAAAAGACAGAAAGAGAAAGAAGAAAAAGAAAGAGAAAGAAGAGAGAAAAAGAAGAAAAAGAAAGAGAAAGAAGAGAGAAAAAGAAAAAAGAAGAAAAAGAAAGAGAGCTGGAAGGGGAGCAGGTATGATTCCCTTAGCAGGCTGTGTGGTTTCTACAAGAAGCAGCCACACCCTAGAGAATAAACTCTACAAACTTAGCCCTGGGTCCCTGGGGACCCTGCTGCCACCTCCTCCTTCCCTGCATGCCGCAAGCCACTTCCAGCTCTGCATTATGCGGCAGGTTTGCCACAGCTTTTGACCGCAGACAGTTTGGCCACATCCCCATCCCTGGTGATGCCCTACAGCATGACCCATCCCAGAGCCCGACTGGCTCTTGCCCCTTCTTCACCCCATGCCAGCACACACCAGCCCATGAGCGCAGCGCCTGCTTCACCAAGCGGGTGATGTGAACTTTTCCAGCACTTTCATATCAAGGCACATCGAGACAAGAACAGCTAGAAGAAAAACCATTCTTCAGCCTGAATGTCCTATTTTAGGTTAACAACAATTCAAACCTTCAAAGATCCCCAGAAAGACGAGGGGCAGGACACACAAAAGGCTCCTGTCCCTAACGGCCATTAACACAGAGCACGGCAAACGCTTCTGGCATATAAAGATTCTCCTCTTATTAAAGCCAATGGGAGAGTCACGAGGATTTCAATGGAAAAAGATCAAGCTGCAGCCAGCAGAATGGAAGAGCAGGAGGGCAGGTGGGAATGGATGCTCCTGTGCCAGATAAAGACCTGACTGGCACAAGGCTCCTTTCTACCTTCGTTGTGTCTTCTGTAGGGAGGCTGGGAGGCTGAGCTGCTGCTGTGCGTGCTGCTCCTCTGCACCACGCTGAGCAAGGAAGACTGCAGCGAAGCAGCCTGTGAGCTCTCATGTGGGGATGAGCAGAATTAAACTGAATATGAATGTCCTCAGCTAGTCTGCTGGTCGTTAAAAGAAAATCAGGCAGTGGAGTTTGGGGTTTGTGCAGTTTTAAAGAATTCCTATTCCTGTGTGATCTGGAGGGAGGAGGGGGTCTTGGCTCTTGCTGGAACACATGATCCATGAGTACAGACAAGCACAGTCCACAAGGAATCACCATATCGCCACCAAATGCTAATCAGGGACTTCTCAGACCTTTAGTCCATCTATTTTTTGGAACCCACCCCAACAGAAAGCCGGAAGCAGAACCCAGCCCCCAATGTATCAGTGTCTTACACTGGGGCACTGAGGTGTCTTACACCCCCCAAAGGTCTTCTTCAGGCCAAGCCGTAGAGCGCAGAGCTGAGCACATGCTAGCCCTGCTAATGCCTCAGCTACAAACAAGGCTTCTGCCTCTCCAGCAACATGTGTGAATTCACTCCTGTGGCTGAGAGTTAGGGCTTGTCAACTTGAACAAGCAGCAGCGCTACATCAAACAACTCTGCTGGGTTTGGGGAATCAAGCCAGTACTTTGTGCCACCCCGGTTCCTAGATGCTCGCAGGGTCTCTGTACAACACAGCCTAGACAAGCCCTAGGACCTCATTGCAGTGCACTATGCAGTACTGGACAGGGATGTCCAAACCGGCTGTCCATAAGCTGCTCAAAGGCTGCGAGCACTATACCCGTATCAGCAGAGCTCACTCACGTGCTGCAGGTAGCCCACATGTAACACAGTACCCCCAGAGCATCAAGAGACAGCAAAACTTTTGAAAGTTTGCCCCTTGATCCCAAGTCCCTTTCCCTTGCTCCCAGCTCCAGCCATGGCTCGGTAGTTTTCCTTTGCTTGTGTACAGCTGTTTCTAAAGTTCTGTATATTTTTAAATTTCAATTTATATTTTTCAACAGTGTAAATTACAGGAGGAAAATTATGGCAAGCTGGACATTCACAAAGAGCCAGAAACAACGTTTAAAAACAAATACATTATCTAATTCCAGCCTCAGTCCATGGTGTAACAACATAGAACAAACCATAAAAACATGCCCTCCTGGCAAGGCTGTGGCTCTGTAATGCTTTAATTGCTTGCGGGGAACCACATGTTTCATTGCAATGAAGTGCTGAACACATTTTAAGAAATGAGTTACAGTCCCGTCCCGTAGCAGTTCAGCTGCTTGGCTTTCCGCTGCCTGTTTTTGGAGCCTGCCCTCCCTGCCTTTGCTCTTTGCGAGGGCTCTCCCCTCTCCCTGCCAGCAAGCCCAGGGTGCGGTTTCACGGGGTTTTCCAGGAGCGCTGACTCAGGGACAAAGCTCACGCAAAACTGTATTTTGCACAGATGTGTTCCAGCCTCCAATTCTGCTACTACATTTTGAGTGGGACGGCTGATGTGAGCCAGGAAGGGTGAGTGTCGGGGGGGGCTGGGTTTTTTTTTTTAAAGAAAAAGCTTTAGGAACAATAATGCACTTGAAAATAACAATGAGAATGTCTGAGGTTGGGTTAGGGATTTGTACAAGAGAAAAAATTTGCTTTAAAATACAGAGTGCTGAAGGAATCAGTAAATGGAGCATTAACTTTGTATAAGCTTTCAGGGCTCCATGGTTTTTTTAATGCAGAAGAAATAAACCACAGGATGTCAAAGGGGCAACAGCAGTCAGACAAAGGATCTCAGTAGGGGCCAATGAAGTTGGTCTATCTATACCCAGCATCAAACTGCCACGTGTACCTCTTTTTCCTGGTTAACGGTTTCTGATGATAGCAGGGATTAGCTGCACAAAGCATCAAATCCTATATTTTAAAGCAAACCCATGGAACTGAACGTAGGCTTGATACGTTGCTTTTTGGTACATTTCAGAGCCGTGACTTTTATCTCTTCCTGCTTGAAGTTTAATTGGGTCCCTGTCCCTGGTTTTCCATTCCTCTGTCCCAGTGGTACAGGAAAGTGAACCAAACCTATTAAAGCTTAGACCCAGCCTCGTATGATGGCCACAGGCATGAATCAAGTATAACAGCTCTGTGTACTTTCATGTCTAAAGCTTTCCTGGCACCATTGCAGAAGAAAATATCATTGCATTTATTTGACAAACAAAACAAAACACAAGGCATCAAATAAGTGTGATGCTCCCAACTGCCTGCTGCAAGCACTTCTGAACCAATGTTATCCTGGCCATTCTCACTCTGCCCTCCCCAATCCCCTTCTTCAAAGTACCGTGTTACAAATCAGGACAAAACAGATTAATTCTTAATTCCAAATATTAGACCCCCCTATGAGAAAAAGATAAAACCCTTCCTTTTAAACTCATGACTAAATGGTCTCTTTGGGGATTAAAGGGGTTTTATCACCAGGGTGATAAATGGGTTTTAGTGAAGTTGTCTTGTAATGTTGTATAAATCATAATTAGGGAGAAGGAGGAAGCAAGGGGGTGGGGAGGGAAGGACTTGGGGGGGGAACCACACCAACACCTCCACTTTGGGAGAGATTGGGACCGACTTACCAGGAAGGAGCACAGGAAGATGAATGACACGAAGTAGAAGTAGGCAAAATCGCTGCCACATTCATTTTTGGTGAGGCCGGAGAGCGGGTCGCAGGCTCTGTTACTCAGGCACGACAGCATGATCTCGTGCCAGGCTTCCCCTGTGGCACTCCTGCAGACAGAGAGGGCAGAGGTGAGCTTATCCAACCCCCTCCCCATTACAGACCCAGGGGGGCATCCACCTTGCAGTATTACTGTGCCCGATTAACTAAATTAATTAGGTGGAAGTTTGTGTCCAGGTGGAGAGACTTACATTAGGAATTTGAACTACCAGCCTGCTGACACGAAAAAGAAAGGAGAAACAACTTTTCCCTCTGTTACAGGGGAGTAAAAGAAACTGAACAGGCTCAGGTAGCCTAAGTGTTATTGGTTTTACGGAGAATAAAACCGGATTGATTTAAACATGTCCAGTGCAAATGTAAGTAAACAGAGTTTAGATTGTTCCTTTTTGAAGCTAGTCCTAGTGCTGGCTGTAAACCCAATGGAGATGATGGGAAATGAAACCAGGCTTCTCCACTTGAATCTCTTATTTCCTTTATCAGGCAGCTACAGAAATACCAGGATGGTCTGGTTGGTCATAATGACTTGGGTCCCTTTTTCATGAAAGTCTCCTGGGTTTTCTTCATCATTTCCCTCCTCCCCCTCTAACTTCTACTATATGGAGAAAAATAGCCAAAAGGAAAAACTTTGGAGTCCCAGAGGGTCTGTCCTCAAAATAAACCACCCCCTGCAACATGCACACCTGGATCGGAAGCCGGGAGATCCCCATGTTCGCTTCCTCTGACTTCCTACATAACCTCAGATTTTCCCTCTATAATTTCTGCACCACACTCAGAGGTGCTTTGAGGGACATCCCTCCACAGTACCACAAACAGCCCGTCTTGTTGCAGTGTTGTTCACAGCCATGCTAATTTGTACACAGAGCCAGCTCACAAGCCTTCCTCCTGGTCTTTGAGAAAACTTGATGCTCAATGTGAACTGAAATAGCTTCCAGGCTACTCTGAATTATACAGCAGATTCCCCCACTGGTTGCATCGAATTCTGAAGCCCCATTCCCTTGCGCAGAAACCTACTCTCCCATCGCGGTCCTGCTGCCTCTGCCCCTTCTGTCCCACTGCAGCTGCTGCATGGGTCTGGAAAGGGACCAAGAGGTCTGGACATGAGACCGAATAATTATCCAGTTTTATTAAAATTCAGAATTTTGAGTCAAGTGATTATTCTGAGCTAGAGAGGGCTAATTTCATTTCCGTCTGGCTTCACAGAAACTATGCAAACCAAATCCCAGGCAAGATATCCAGTTACAAGCGCCACATAATCTGCCGAGTCTCGGCACGGCTGGCAGCTGCTTGTGGGGCCAGAGCAGTTATTAACCACTGTGTCTCCACACAACACGGCGCACATCCGGATAAGTGAAATCTTCCCCAAGCTGCCCTGATTTGGAGCAGGGCCTGCACTTCATTTCTGCCGGGTCTGAAAATGAAAATCTGTCATTTCATTGATTTTTTTTTTCATTGGAAAAAGCTTAGTTTCCGGGCAGAATGAACCCAGATGGAAACACTTTCACTCTGAAGCAGAGGTGGCATTGATGTATGAAGTGTTAACTTGTTGGTAATGCAAAAATGACCAATGAAAGGAATTCCCACTTTAAAAAAAAAAAAAGTAAGCTTCGTGACAGGAAGCACATCAATCAGTTAAACCAGGCGGGTTCTGTCTCATGTTAAGCTTCTGCCTGAGTTGAAGTGGAGTGTCACAGCACTGGGTGTCACTTTGTGGAGATGCTGGTGTGTTGAATCAGATCTGTCATACTGGGACATGTGCCAGGCCAACCTTTAATGCCGAGAAGGAGGAAGCAGGAATGGATGCTTTACTCCAAATACCTTGCTTAGAGATGCCTAAGTCTCAGCAGCTAAACTAGCATATACAAAACCAAAGGCTTATTTATTTTTCATGTGTGAGTTGTATGGTATTTTATACTCACCTGAACAGAAGCATCAGGGCTTGGAGGAAGGTACGGAAGTTATTGTGTCGATTAATGGAGGTTTCATCATCTAGCGCAATGTTTCCGAATACCTGCCACAGAAAACAGAAGCGATTCAGGCCAAACACATCCTCATGTGGACGTTATCAATAAAGGTAGATCAAGTGGAGCTGGAAGAAGAGGCAGGAAAATAATCTGTCCTGGTTTAAGGAATCTCAAAAGCTAGACTAATTTCTATGCTGAACGGGGAGATAAAAATGTGTTGTGGAGATCAAATGGGGAAAAAAAACAAGGTTAATGTGCTTCGTCTTCACACAGACCCAACACCCAAGTTCATCTCCGTCCCAGGCCAAGAAAACTTTCTCATTTGTTTTCAGAAAGGTGCAGCGCCTGAGCTGCTCCCTGCTCTCAGCCTCTTGACATGCCCGTACCCAGAGGAAGGGACATGCCCTGCCCGCGGGAGACGCGGCTGCCCACCACCGCCTCCAGAGATGCTGTGCTGCAGGCTGGTCACCCGCAGCTGGTTTGCCTGCCCACTCTCTCACTTTGTACACCCAGGGCCACATTCAACACAAGACCTGGCAATAAGGGTAGAACAAGCGGCCTTTTTTTGCACTTCTAATTTACCTGACACCAGACAAGAAGAGCCTTTCGCCTCATCCTAGTCAGTTGTTGGTCCTGCTGCGGAGGCAATAACCCATTTGCACCCTGAACCAGCAGGACAAAAGCAAACTACGTAGGGTCAGTATTAAAGCTAAAATTTTTACCTGCATGCCAATAATGGCATAGATGAAGAAGAGCATTGCAATGAGGAGGCACACATAAGGCAAGGCCTGTGGAAAAGGAGAAGGTGGTATTAATGACAGCAAATGCGTATGTCAGCCAGTAGCATTTAATTCCTGGGCAACACTGTATTTTGTGGCATTTGTCCTTCAGATGAAGGAACTGGGAAGAGAATATGAACAATTCTGGCAGCCCTTAGAAGACAAAGCCCTGGAGCCAGATATTCATTGATCACAAAAGAGTCTGGGCTTCCAAGGGCTCTCTATACATCCTTGCAAGCAGATAAGCAGTAAGCAGGGGAAACACAATAAGAAGCTCTGCAGCAAACACTGGAGCTACTGGCAGGCACTGGCACTTTCTATGCATAATTGTACGAGCATTAATTTTTAATGACCTTGCTGTAAACTTAGTACGAGAAAAAAATATACATCCAAGAAACAAATTCCTGCTCTGAAACAAGCACAGACTGCAATTCCAGGAGGAGAAAAGGATTCTGAGTTTTAGCAAGAAATCAGTGAAGGCTACAATGTAATTATGTCACCCAAGCTGAAAGTAATAGCTACTTTCCACTCAAGCTAAACGAAGAGGTAATTAACGCCTCTTAATTAGTAATAGCTGAAAAAATGAGAAGTCTTGCCCTAAAACTAGACCATGTGATGCTCAGGGCAGGAGAGGGGTTATGCAGCCCATGGGGAGCCCAATAGGAAACATGGGGCAAAGGGCTGATATGGTTTCTGCTGGATACCTTTGCACAAGGGACAAGGACTGAGAGCTCAGTGCTGGGGGGAAAGAGAGACAAGCAGTTCCCCATGCAGCCCAGGAACAGTCCTGGCTTTGCTTCAGGGGCAGCACTCTGCACACACACTTTGGAAAGGGTTGGGTTTATACTGAAAAGGGCCTTGGCTGAGCCCCTCGCCCAAGATCCAGCCAAGACTACACAGTCCAAGGACAGTCTCCTGAGTGGGAACATCTTACACATGCAGACCCCACGTCTCAGCCTCTGGTAGAGGCTCTCCTGGCTGCAGGATTCCTCATGAGTTACAAGGTGAGATCAGCAGCCACACCACCTCCATCCACCCTCAAGGAAAACACGACCTAACAAATCTAAGGCACTGCAACCCCCCAGATGGCAGTCCCTTTCCATTAGCTGCTTGACAGCTGGGTGAAAGCATAACACAGAAGTTGAATGCGAGAGCACCAGCTGCCTGTCTGGTGTCTCCCAAAGGGACATACAGTGTAATACAACACTCACTCCAACCCCTGGCTGCGGGGTAACAGCACAGGTGCCTGCAGTTCTTCTCCAGGTTGCTTGTAGAAAGAAGCAATTGCTATGTTCCCAGCTTCACCCTCCAAAAAGGTTTTGCCTCTATACCCTAAAAGGTCGAATACAAACTTCCCTCCCAACCAGCTCTGGTGCAGAGCAATACCTGCATTCAAGCTCTGCTGACACCAGTTCTGAATCCCAGTTCTTTTGCAGCCAGCATGGGGCTGGCCAGCACTCCCAGGCCGGTGTGGGCAGAGCCACCCGGCATCTCTCTCCACTGCAGGACAGAAATGTCTTTCTTCTCTTAAAAAGTCTTCTATTTTTGGAGAGAGCATACTCCTCCACACAGTTTTATCACCTAAAATAACCTCTCTGCATCATTTTGACTCAGACACCATGTTGTATTTGAAAGCGCAGCTAAAGCAAAAGAAACCGGTTGCTCTGCATCCCACCGCACTCTGCGTCATTTAATACCAGTTGCCACCATAACACCTTCCAGAAAGCACCATGCAAAATACCCTGACATTGCACCTACCTGCAGGCAAGCTCCCCTGAACTTGTGACAGCACCCAGGACATAAGCTATCACCCACAGACCTCAGAGCTCAGCCCAGAAGAAGGTGAGACACTGTGCAAAGCCAGAGGTATGGTCCCTAGGCTCGCCAAGCCACCCACCACATGCACAGGCAGTGCTCAGGAGCGTGGCACCCTGCCAGCAAGCAGGAGATGAAGTTTGCTGGCTGCGGCCGTGAGCTAGTGAACAGATCTGTCTTCTGCCGCTCCCTGACCTCCTTGTGCTTTGCTTTCCCACATCACCTCTCTACTTATACTTCTCTGAAAGTCCTGTGAGATCCCCAGAGCCAGGGAGGTCAAGTGCTTTCTGGGAGAGGGCCCACGTCTGAATGGACTGGGGGTCTGCACCCTGCCAGCTGCACAGTCAATAAATACTGGTGCATTAGAGCTCAGTGTCAGTGCTACAAATCCTGATTTAAGATTAGATGATCTCCTCTCTGCACTGCAGGATATGAACATGCCCCATAACCAGGGTTAAAACACAACAACCTGTTGAAATGGGCTGCAAACCAGCTGAGAGCTGTTAAAAATAACCAGCTTTGGGGTATGTGGGCTCCTATTTAGATCTGGAAAACAGCTAACTTGAAGCTAAGCACAAGTTGAGAATGAAGCTGCTGTAAGGCAGTTGAGGGTCACTTAGTTCAGAAGAGCCATATCCAGCTGCTGTGGCCAGTCACCCCTGCGCCACAATGGACCAGCTGCCACGATGTGCTGAGGCTTGCTCGGAGGGAAGGGCAGGGGTAAAGGAAACCAGGCAAGGCAACTGTCTCAACTGTCAGCCTGACCTCGGTACCAGGGGAGATCATGGAACAGTTTGTCTTGAGAGCGCTCACATGGCATACGCAGGACAAACAGGGGATCAGGCCCAGTCAGCATGGGTTCATGAAAGGCAGGTCCTGCTTGACCAACCTGATCTCCTTCTATGACCAGGTGACCCGCCTAGTGGATGAGGGAAAGGCTGTGGATGTTGTCTACCTCGACTTCAGCAAGGCCTTTGACACTGTCTCTCATGGCATACTCCTTGAGAAGCTGGCGTCTCATGGCTTGGGCAAGTGTACTCTTCACTGGGTGAAAAACCAGCTGGATGGACGAGCCCAGAGGGTTGTGGTGAATGGGGTGAAATCCAGTTGGTGGCGGGTCACAAGTGGTGTTCCCCAGGGCTCGGTGTTGGGCCCCGTTCTGTTTAATATCTTTATCAATGATCTGGATGAGGGGATCAAGTGCACCCTCAGCAAGTTTGCAGATGACACCAAGTTGGGAGGCAGGGTCGATCTGCGTGAGGGTAGGAAGGGTCTACAGAGGGATCTGGACAGGCTGGATCGATGGGCCGAGGCCAATCGTATTAAGTTCAACGAGGCCAAGTGCCGGGTCCCGCGCTTCAGTCACAGTGACCCCACGCAGCGCTACACGCTTGGGGAAGAGTGGCTGGGAAGCTGCCCGGCAGAGAAAGACCTGGGGGTGCTGGTTGACATCCAGCTGAATATGAGCCAGCAGTGTGCCCAGGTGGCCAAGAAGGCCAACGGCATCCTGGCCTGCATCAGAAATAGTGTGGCCAGCAGGAGCAGGGAGGTGGTTGTTCCCCTGTACTCGGCACTGGTGAGGCCGCACCTCGAGTCCTGTGTTCAGTTTTGGGCCCCTCACTGCGAGAAAGACATTGAGTTGCTGGAGCGTGTCCAGAGAAGGGCAACCAAGTTGGTGAGGGGCCTGGAGCACAGGTCTTATGAGGAGCAGCTGAGGGAGCTGGGGCTGTTTAGTCTGGAGAAGAGGAGGCTGAGGGGAGACCTGATCGTTCTCTACAACTACCTGAAGGGGGTTTGTAGTGAGGTGGGTGCTGGTCTCTTCTGTCAGGTGGCTGGAGATAGGACAAGAGGAAATGGCCTCAAGTTGCGGCAAGGGAGATTTAGGTTGGATATTAGGAAAAATTTCTTTACTGAGAGGGTTGTCAGACATTGGAATAGGCTGCCCAGGGAAGTGGTTGGGTCACCATCCCTGCAGGTATTCAAAAAGCACGTCGACGGGGTACGCCATAACATGGTTTAGTGGGCATGGATGATGGTTGGACTCGATGATCTTGAAGGTCTTTTCCAACCTAAATGATTCTATGATTCTATGATTCTATAACAAAAACTTGTTTTTGTAATCCTCCATGACATAAAAACACAGCCCTGCGTTATACAGCTTCACAGTTTGTATTACCAAAATGCAGTGGTTTGGGTCTCACCTCAAGATTCTACCAAGACTGAAACCTGGTGAAAGCAATTTAACCATACACTTGCTGCACACAAATAGGCAAATAGCAGGCATGAAGGCACTTACTAGTCAGACTACTGTTTCCTTATGCGAATACCCGAGTCTCAAGACTTTGCCATAGGGATTTTGTAGTAGTTTCAAGGGCAACATGAGCTTTGCACACTTGCTGCAAGCCTGTATCAGTAGCCATCCGGCTTCCAGACTCATCTTCCAAAACGTTCAGGACATGCAGTGTTCAGGGGATGTTCAGTGCAAATCAGTTAGCTTTTCTGCAGAATTAATATTCCTGTAATTGCTTTGTAGAGGTGCAGAGAGGCTGTTCCCTTGGCAAGAGGAAGCTCTTTGATACTCAATGGAGGATGCTACAGACGTGCCAAGCATTACCATCTCCCCGTGTCTCTTCCCTGCCTCCCACCTGCCTAACACTCACCTTAAAAGACTGCACAAATGTCCAGAGCAAGATGCGGATAGTGTAACCCTGGCGAAGGAGCTTGATAAGTCTGGCTGCCCTGAAGAGCCGCAGGAAGCTGAGGTTGATGAAGTTGTCCTGCGGAAAGTAAAGGTTTTGTGTCCTTCAGAAATTAACGCGATTAGAAACCACAGCCCGCAAAAAAGAAATTAAAATTACCAGCTTCACGATCTAAGCAGCAAATCGGCCACCAGAAAACCTTCCAAAAGAAACATTCGTCAGTGCAGATCACTCCACATGCAGCAAGTATGAGAAAATCCCTCTCCACAAGAGCCCTCCCCTCTGCCACTGGGTCAATGATAGAAAAGGAAAAGGCCCTTTCACGCTGTCCATGGAGGTCTTGTTTTCTTTGACTCAGGCAGATTTTCTCCCCCTAAAGACTCAGGGAGAGGTAATGGTGCCACATTATCATTTTGTAAAGAATGAGGTTGTTTTGAAGTCTTGGTCAGCTCACTTTCTACAATCAATTGAACTTAAGCCAAGACAGTTGCAAGGGACTGTGTACATAGCCTCTACCGAAACAAAGAAAGGCATTGTCCAGTGAAGAATAAAACATCCTTGAAAGAAAGAGGATGTTTTCTAACCTGGAGGTTTTAAATGTTTATACAACATGTGACTGGACAGGCTCATCAAGGAGAAATTGCACCAGCAAGACTGTTTGGAAGATGGATCAATGGCAGCAAATCAATTGGGGAGGTTGAGTGTTCAACAGCAGGAGGGTGCCTTAGGAACCTGCTGCTTTTTTAAATTATTATTAAACGTGCCTTTGCAGGTGGATCAAAGAACTGCTGGAGACAGATTCTGATTTCCATTTGTTTTGTATGATTGTCCCCACCCCGCACCCCATTTTTTCTTTCCTTCAGGGAAAAGACGTTTCTTGCCCCAATGAGCTAATCTAGAGAGGGTTCTTTCCAAAACAAAACATGCAAAGCCAGATCCCTCTTGCCCTCCTATTTTAAGGAGACAAAATATATCCCCCCCCCTTTCCATACTGATTCCAATTCACTTATTTGTGAATCTCTGTTCACAGCCACTTATTTGACTGAGTTAGCTAAAGAGAGAAAGTATCCCACTTCAAACTATCAAGCAGTGGAGTGGAAAATATAATTATAAGGAGCTCTTGTTGGTAAAGATGAGCAAAAATAGTCTTTCCCTTGTATTACTGTTTTACCAGAAGACATCCAGTCATATTGAACTGACCCATGTTTCTTGCTCATTTGGCTACAGAGCTCATGCTGAATTTGGGGGGCTTGTTGGATCTATTCATTTATTTAAATGCCAGCTCAGTTTTGGGGCCATTAGCATCGCATTCCACCAATCCCATCAAAGAGTTCAAGAAATCAGTCTCAGGCATGCACTCGGTTTCTCTCATGTTAAAAATGCAAGCAGCTCAGAGTTAGGCACAGACCATATATCAGACTCAATCCTCAAATAAAGAGAAAAGAGAAAAGCACAGGTATGTTCAATGAAAGAGCAGACAACACTGAGCTCATTCAAGTCAGCAACAGAAATCAGCTCTGGCAGGCAAAACATAAGCGAGGATTCCCCTGGGTTGTTCAAGGTCCGTAAAAGAGGCACTAAAAATTCAGTGCTTGTCTCTTGGCCTCAGCTCCTTACATCACTTATATTCCTTTCACAAAATACTGGCTGGACTCACCTTAGCAGGTAAGGGCCATATAAGACCGAAGGGGCAGAGATGGATCACGGCTGGATAACTGGGTGCCATCACTAATCTGGTCCCTAGTAACCTGTTCCCCCCGTGCTGGCTGTGGTGCCAGCTGATACACCTCCACAGAGCAGCTGCAATGGGTTTCAGCATGGGGCAAAGGTTTAACCCAGAGCCCGATTTAATCATGCAATGTCTCCCCACCAGTGGGAACTGGAGCAGACCTTATGTGTAATGTTTGTGGCACGTGGGCATCAGGCCTGCGAGTCTTTATTCCCTTCAGAGCAATGCTCAAGCCAGGTCTTTCCTGTGCACAAGCTTAACCCTCCTCCAAGGAGCACATGCACAGGCAGCGTCTGCAGCATCCCTCTCTGCATATGAACCTGTCTTACTGCCCTCTTCTCACATTACTGCAGCTTAACAGCAATAACGTTGTTTTGCTCAGACTTTGCTATAATCTTATAATCACAGCTGACATCATGCTTAACATCTGCTTTGGTCTGGGCTGACTGTAATATCACACTTAGCACAAGCTATCCCTGTGCTACATGAGGCTTTATACAGGATAGTCTGTATACACACAATATGAAACAGGGGGCTCAAAACTGTGCAGTTATGTCTATAACCCCCCACTCCCTGGGATTTGGAGGGACAAACAGTCCATAACCCTTTTTTTTTTTCCAGCCCCAATCCCTCCCTGTTTGACTCATGCACTGCCATTTCCTAAAGCGCAGCGAAAGTCTCAGCTCTGCAGGGAATCACAACCCAGGAAAATCCACCGTCACCAACATTAGCAGACCATTCGAAGGACCGTTCTCTGCGCTGTTTGTAGCAGGGCAAAATTACACACGCTCGTGATGGATGGAAGGGTTCCACGTGTGTAACCCTCAGCACAGCACGTAGAAAACCTGTCCTTCAACACCTCAACTGTCCAGGCAGGTATTAGAATTGCATGCAGTTAAAGGGGAAACTCCACATTGCAATATTTCTTGTGTATAACAGTGGTTTGCATCAATTCTCCTCCCACTTAGCCACCTTTGTAACACGACACACATATGATCATCTTCTGGGTTATCAAGGCCTTTCTTTCCAGGTTTTTTTTTTGCTTTTCTGTTGCACAGATGCTAAAGGCTGACTGGTGCTCACAAGAGCACCATAGCTTTATGATTTTACGATCCACCTGAGGACTAGCAAATTATGTTTGAAAAACATTTCCCCTGGCCTGTCACTATTTTCCTACAAGAGGGAGCTCTGGTAATGAAGACATCCACCACCCACCAGGCCCCGGGGGGTCTGGGCACAGCCGGGCACAGCCACCGCTTCCCAAGACAGGAGTATGATGGAAGCCCAGCTGAGAGATGCATCCCTGGAGCAAACTGCAAAGCAGGAGGAAAACAGAGAGAACATATACCACAGGTAAAGAACTGGCCTTGATTGCTGTCCCACCACAGGCATCCTGCTCTTTTACCCTTTCTTAGGGTATTTTCCATTCTGAAAAGTAGAAAATCCATGAAGAATAGGGCGTACAGCCATTGCCTGGATCTGTTCCTCCAGCATCTTCAGCAGCAGAGTGGTTTCCTCCCCAATGCAGGAGCTCTGCCCACTGTCCGCAGGGATGCAGAATGAGCTCCATTCTGTACACCATTCGCAAAGCACCAGCTCAATGGATTTAGTGTTTTGAATTTTTAAGCTTGCAGTGAGAATATGAGGTTTTTATGCCATGGCTGGACATACTCTGCAGGATTTAGTGAAGGAGGTAACGTTACGCTGCCACAAAGCAATAAATCTAGCAGAAGTTGAGCTGTTCATCCCTGCTTCTTCCTGCAGCCCAGTTGCAGAACACAACAAACCCCTGGACCTGAAACTTCAGATTTCTGTCCTCAAAATGAAGGGCTCACCGAAAGCTGCAAAGAGCTGTGGGAAGAAGAATCCAACCAAGCCAAGAATGGGATCACTCAGGAAGCTTTGGCAGTTCTTCTCATCTGGCATCAACAAGAATTAACCTCTTCTGCTAAGGAACTACTGTCGAGGAAATGGCTGTGTTCCCATTTAAATGCCTGCGGCATTGCTAGTACTGAAGAAGAGTTCCTGAATCTTGCATAGGGTCTTGGCTTCCTCTGAAGCTTGGGGAAAACCCTTGCTGATTTCTAGAAGTCAAAGATTTTTGCCACACTTGTCCGTGTCTTGGGGAATCTGCCATTACAGGCATATCATATCATATATCATATATCATATATCATATATCATATCATATCTCCTTTCATCCTGAGCCAGAAACACTAGAAAAATGATTTTATGTATGTGATGCCCAGATCTCTCCTCGTTCCCTACTACCTTTCCACTTTGGTGCTTCTGCTGTAGTCACTGTAGGCTCTCATCATCAGCAGTGGAATGAAGATGGCAGCTCCAGAGGACAACCTGGTGCTCCAGAGATGTAACTTGGATGCCGAGTGATGGAAGGAGCCTGGACCTGCACATATGACCATAGAGACTGCAATCCTAACAAACTGCAGGATGAGCATTTAAATCTTTAACCTGCAACGTGGACAGCAACAAGGCCAAAATTTGGCCAAATGGAGATAAGCTGATTTTTTTTTCAGTATTTTTGATGTGCACAGCTGATGCCAGAGCACACACTTGTGCTTCCTGGGCCAGGGGTGCAGAAGGCAAAGTCTCCAAAGACATCCTCACAGATCATCTGTAATGGTTCCAGCCACCGCAGCACACACAGAGAATTCCCTTATCAGATTGTACTAGGCAAATTTTTAACTTATACATTGTCGTTTTCTTCTTTGCTGCCTCCTAGCAGAAAATTCCCTCCTGTGCCCCTCAGTGAAGGATGCATGAAGCCTATTTGCAGTCTGTCCTGAAGATTCACGCTGATTTGTTTCTTAACAGCAACTGTGCAACAGGAAGTCCAGATGTCAACACAGAGCCAAGAGCTGCTGTCAGGTGGCCAAGCAAGTATTTTTTATAAGATTATGGTCTCGTTTGTGTTATTAACCATAGCCAAGATAATTAAGAATCGAAGAATACATATATGTTTTAGATTGTATTTTTCTTTATTCGCCCTCTTTTGCTTAATTTATGATTTTCAAAGATGAAGACCAGTATTTCCAAAGGTGTCTTTGGAATCAGGCACTAAATTCCCAGTGGGACCTGGTTCAGCCCTGTTCATAGCACGGCTTATGCATTTTACTTGAGATAGTTGCTTTTGCATCCAGGGACTCTGTGTCCACTGTGGTGGCAAAATGCTTCTACATGCTGGTATCACAAAGAATTTTCAAAGTTGAATAAAAATCACTCTTTCCTATGACTTCTCTTTTGATTTGAGGGAAGCAAGTCTGTAATCACTTCAGTAATTTTTTTGCCTTACAGTACAGCATAAACCATGGGCTTAAAATACCTGTAAGGCAGTTCTCTTAAATGTACTGCTTCCCTTTGCAGAAAGCTCAATGCATCTCATCATAAAAGAAAACAAAACCAGTTTCTGAGAACTGAATTTGGTACCACCACTTACACAATGAAGGGTTCCCCAGCCAGCCAATCTTCTCTACTGCAGGTCATCCAGAAGCATCCTTCCCTCCTATTCTCATTCAATTTTCCACCAAAATAAAGCAAGTGTCAGTCTCCCCTTTATCATTCTCAGGTGTAACAAACAGCGGAGAACAGGCTATTGGTAACTGCATTTGCCTCACGTCACCAATTAGCCAAGGGGAAGAAGATGCAGAACAGAAGCCAGTTTTGAGGCACGCTGCAGTGAGGCTTTTTCACCAGTGCAATCGGAAATCTCATCAAAACGAATTAAATTAAAGAAAAACGAGAGAAAATAAAAGCAGAGAATTTAAATAATTGTTTAAATTCAATGAAACCAACCGTGTCCTATATGTGATGTTTTCATGGATGGATATTTGCAAGTTTATTTACAAATTTATTTTTTTGAGCAGCAGGTGCACAACATACAGACGGAGACATGGTTTTCGCATTGTATGTTGATTGGATGGCGTGATTCAGCAGGTAGATAAGGAAAATAAAGAACAAAACAGGAAACAAAAGAGAAAATGAGTAATCAGGACAAGCAAAAAAGGAAACTCTGAAAATTTCACTGGAAAAAAACTGTTGGGCTTTTGGGGGTGTTATTTTATGATAATTATATAAATAAAAATGCTTCAAACCAAAACAGATTCTGAGATCCTAAAGGTAACACAGACAGTGCAGTAGTTATTTGCATTTCATTTTGTAATGCAAATTGGGAGACAATTCACAAACACTTCTCAGCATGTTTTTTATATTTCCAGGCACAGAAATGGATGTCAGTTTGCCATACACCCATTTGGCCTCCTGAGGCCAGCTGTGTCAGCAAGGACACCTTCTCCTTAATGCCACCTATTTTACCTCAATTACTGAGAGGGTAAAAAACTGACATACGTGTTTTTGCCTAAGGAAATAAAAAAATATATATATTCCACTGCATTCACAAAGTAAATTACATATGACATGACTAGAAAATTAAAATAAAGCAATTAATCAACACATTTCTTTTCCTTTTATCTTTACTTTTCATTGGTTTAAAAGTACCGATGCAGCAAGGCTGGTGGAAGCTCAGTCTCTCAAGATGAGACCGCCCAGGTGAGCAGGTTTATTTACCTTGGAGAACACTTACAGATGGAAAATACAGTCATGGAGAAAAGTGGTGCTCCTGCAACTACTCGTGAGCCTGATCTCTAAGTCATACCCGTAAAGCATCCCCTCTCCACAGGGAGCTGGAGGGCTTTGTGGGTGGTTGTTAAGGGGACAGATGCAGACTGACAGTTGAGTTCACGTTGTGGCTGTCACCTGGGCTTCTCAGCCTGAGAACCCCCCCCCGTGTGAACGGGTAGTAACCGGGCTGAATGCACATGGAAGGACTAACGGGGGCTACCACCCAGCTATCCGTGCGGCTGCCCGTCAGCCAAGGAGAGGCTGGAGCTGAGGAAGGCAGATGGAGAAGAGGTCATCCTCCGTTGGGGACACAGCTCAGAGTCATGACGAGTAAGACCTGCTCTCCTCTTTGGTTATTCTCAGCTCCATAATGCGGTGCAGAGAGCTGCTGCACCCCTTGTCATGCACACAGCCAGAAAGTTGAAGTGGGGTTCAGCATTAGCTACAGCATTTTGTGCAGAGTGGATGTTCATCCTGAGCCTTAGTTACTACTCTACCCTACCTGGAAATATAAAGGGTAAAGAGTGGTTGGGCAGAAGCAGTAGGATTAAAGACTGCAGGCTATATGCCTGATCTGTACTCTGTGAATGAGGCACCCACCAGTCCTTGCCTTGGTCCCTGCTGTTCGCAGACAGCATGCTCGCTATCACTGCATCAGGTTTTTCAGCCTTTTTCTACATTTTTTTAATTGGTTCTAAATACCAGAAGTATTTAAGTGACTTGGGTGTGACTCCAGTTTAACAAAACAGCAGGTTATATATTACAAAGATGGTTTAAAGTGTAACTCTTCCAGGATATACATGCATTATGCCACTTCCCAGGCAGCTTTGGGACCCCTTGGGTTTCCCCTGATGTGCTGTGGGCCAGAATAACATGTGCTGCAACCTATCGCAGAGCCAACAAAATGGGACCGGAGCAGAGTGCTGGATCCTTCTGCTTGTTTTCCACCCCACGTGCTACAGACTGTCCTCAGGACTGGAAGGGGAGGAAGGCTTGTAGCGGCAGTGGAGCTCCTGGTACAAGACTACCTCCACCACATGCCACTGGATAAAGCAGAACGAACTGCTCCATGAAAGGCGTCCTGAGAGCTGCCATTAACAATTCTGTTACAAATGTAATCTTTGGGGCACCACTGCAAACTCCCACTCAGGTAATTAAGCAGTAATTCTGAGATCTGTGCATCACTGTCACCTTTAAGCAAACTAAGCTCCTAACGCTTCTTTAGCAAGCTGTGCACGATGCCTTTGAACTCTCAGCCCATCATCCCTGTCTGAGGCTGAGATGGATGTGAGCGGCTTAAGGAACGTACACCAGCGGCTACAAAAGCTGTTCAGCGTGGATGAGTGTGCTGCTGCAGATGGACGCGGGCTGGAGAGAGATCAGAGAGGAGCTCTATGAAAGAAGTTTTGAAAAACAAGTCTAACAAGAAGGTGGGGAGGGACCTCTGGGCACACTCTGTCTGCAGGGGAAAGTATGTGGAAAGGAGACATGATGGCTATACAGAAACGCTGCAGAAGAGGAAGATTTAGAGAGCAGAGCTCAAATAGGTCTATGGACTGAGACAGAAGACCAAGAGGTCAGGGGCTGGAGTAGTACTGGGGGACATAGGGCTTTTATATTAAAGACATGTTTGTGAGCAGCTTTGTATTGGACACACTGCCAGGGGAAGCTGTTGAACTACATTAGAAAGTCCTCTCTAAGGTTTGACTTACTGGATCTAGTTAATCATAAACCAAAAACCTCTCCATTACCACCTGGAAGGATAATGGAAAGGTGTATAGGTGCTTGGGAACTTAACCCTATTGGAGTTTACTGACTGTTTTTAGAGGTAACTCATACTGCTCTTCAAAGGCATCCACAAATTGCTGCTATCTTTGATGCTGGAAACCAGAGAAATTACTGCAGAGTGGAAGGGTGATGCCGTCACTTCCAGCACCCTCGAGGTTATTGCATCAGTACCTGCCAACTCACACAAGGGTATTTGGGAGCACATTTGCTCTCCAGCCCAAAGACCAGGAGAGGGGTGGGGAACCTCTGCCTACACACTAACTCTCCTACCCTTAATAGTTGGCCAGCAGAGCCAAGGGACAGCTGCTGCTTCCAAAAAGCTGGGGGCATGCATATACAGCCCCAGACGTGCTGTGGCTTTGCCTTAAATTCAGCGACATATCACAGCCCAACCTGATCAGTCCGTATCCAATTCCCCAGGTGCCAGACAGCCTGCCGAGGCTGGGCCACCCCCGTCGGTGCTGGAGGGAGAGGCAGTGGCCTGTTAACTGAGCAGGGACTGCTACCTGACAAGCAGGGAACAGGCAACACTGATGGCTGCTCTCTGCCTGCAAAATAGCTGTACAAAGAAGGATTTCAACAAGAAGTGTGCGGGCTGGGTGTTGTGAAGGAAACACCTTCCTGAAGGAGAAGATGCAAATCTCAGGGAGACCACAGCCTCCCTTACCACGCCTGAGTTGGCTGTGCTGCTTTCTCCCAGTAAAAGTGGCTGAAGGAAGGGTGGAAAAGAAGCGTCAGTCTGTTTGTGGCTGACTTGCTAATGTTTGCACGCACTTTCAAACCAAGGCAAAAGTTTGGGTGCCTGAGTCTGGCAAGAAAGCGTGTCCCACAATAGAGGGAGTAGAGGCAAGCATCCAGTGCCTGCCCACGGTGCGATAAATCTCATAAGCACTGAGAGAAATGGTAGTCAGACCTTGTGTTTGATCTGAGTAACTTTACCCTGGCTGTAAGCCGTGCATTGAAAACAAAAGGTTATCCAAAGTCTATGAGATAGGATTCACCAACTGTTAAATGAACGCCATTTGTGTGGGGAGTAAAACTTTGGAGTTTTGTGTGCTTTTTTGTTCCAAGGAGGTTAGGTAATAATGTATTTTATTAGAAACGGTAATGTAGTCTTCAACACCAGCTGAACGTCCTGTAAAGAAGTCTGGGGAGCATAGTTCTTAGCGCACGTACAACATAGATCTATAAGCAAATCCCAGGGACTGAGAAAACAATTATGGCAGAGTTCAAATTCATCACATACAGATACAGCATCATCAGCTAAAATATGCATTGGGAGAGGAGAGGAGCAATTTGTAAATTGGATAATATCAGGCTGTCAAGGCTTGAGTTAGACATTTGCTGCCCTTATGGAAAAATCCTCTAGAATTTAATGGCAAGTTTGTACACTTCATGTAATCTACAGGACTCATTAGCAGGGAAACAGCAGTCATTGTAGGGATGGCCAACAAATCCTATGGTAAAGTTGTTTGTTGTATCAATTGCCCCACAAAGCTTTTGTGCACATAATGGCAATGCACCATGTTCCCCCAACCCAAACTGTGCAGGCTGATGAGTTTCTGGCTGTTTCTACGTTCCCATCACCTCTCCCCTTCTCACTCCTCTCATCGCCTTCACTCTGCCCCGTGACAAAGATTGGGTAGAAGCCTCAAGGGACAGAAGCGTGTGTGTGCCCTGCAAAGCACCTCACACTATAAAGCAGCAGTCTTCAACAGAATTCTTTTGATCTTTTCCCTCTATTAAATTCAACAGGATTTTTCCATTAATAGGCAAAACCGGCTCGGGGTTAGAGCCATTTGCTGAATGAGACAGAGAGAGTGTTTCCTCACAGAGTCACTAGCACTGTCGTTCTCATCACAGCTTTTTGCATGAAAGTCTTTGGAGCAGACAGCCGTGCTCATCTCCATGGAAAGAGCAGAGCTACTGGAAACAAGCTGCCAGGTCACCCAAGGACATCATCACATGATGAGTCCCAGAGGCTGCTCTAGGGAATAAGGCTGGTAGGGAGAAGGTGCAGTATCTTGACAGGGTACAGCTTTGTTGGTAAATGAAGCAAATTGAGCAAACTGTACTTACCGCAATCTCTGTTACTAAAATATCAGTAATACTTCCCAACACTGTTACAAAATCAAAGACATTCCAGGCATCTCGGAAATAATTCTGCCAAATGAAAACACAAGGGGGATAGAGGGATCCAGGGGTTATTTTTTTTTTTTTGCAACACAGGCTTTTTTTGTTTGTTTTTAAATGCACGTCATGAAATACAAGCATTTCATGTAGAGAGGAAACAGTTGAAAGTAAACGAGGAAGGCACATACCAGCACACCAAAGGCAATGATCTTCAGCACACATTCCATTGAAAACATGGATGTAAACACAATATTCAGGCATTTCAACATTTCTTCATATGCTTCTGGAGCATCATAGAACTAAACCAGGATGGAAGAAAGGCTGTTACTGGAAGATCACTTACAGAATAAAACCTTCCCAGCTGACTTGACTGACTGCAAGACTCCTGCTCATTTTAGTGCCAGATTTTGTGCTCACTTTAAGCAAGACTGGGGGTTACGACACAGTTATTCAGTGCCACTCCAGAAGCACACTGTTGCCTACAGGCTATCCTAATGGGACAGCTGGAGATAACCCCAGGACTGGGAGACTGTTGCTGGTGCACATTTGCCTGTAAGCACAACATGGATGAGGAGAGAGGAAGGGCATTTTCAAAACTAGAGGACAAGTGCGGAACCGTGTTTCATTCCAGCAGACCCTAGGAATATGGTGATGCCTTGACTGTGAAAATACTTTAAGCTAGGCAAGGGATAGGAGGGGATATCAGCCACAACATCGAGCCACGTGCATCTCTTCCTCCTAAGCACTGTGGATCACATCCCAGAAGCTTGACGCTGCTGCAAATTTGAGTAATTTCCCTGGCACAGCTGGATTTCAAGCATCCCGAAGAAGTGACCCTGCTCTGCAGCAGGAAGCTGAGCTGGGAGCTCAGGACCCGAGAAGCCCAGTTCCCATCCCACTGGCCATATGCTGAAGGGGCTATGAGCCAAACCAGCGCTGTGCAGGGGAATCCCGTTCGCAGTATCTCATCACAACTAAACCACCTCCCTTTGGGGAACAAAGGAATCCCACAAGACATCTAAAAACGACAACAGGCAAATAAGAAGTGGTGGTTGCTCCTGCCTATCCCCCTCCCAGCTCTCAGGTTGAGAGTACAAAGCCTCTCCAGCAAACACTGCATTAGCAAGCCCGAAATTGCAAAGATTCAGTAACAGCCCACTAACCTTCATCATTAGGACAATGGTATTGAGTGCAATCATGACCATGATAAAATACTCAAAGGGAGGGGACACCACAAATTTCCACATCTTGTACTGAAAAGATTGCTTGTTCTGAGGCATGTAGCGGGTCAGTGGCTTGGCACTTATGGCGAAGTCTATGCAGGCCCTCTACAAAACAAAAATGGAATGAAAAGAATACAAAAAAAAGGGCTGGCAGTATCTATCACTCAGGATATTGTTGGGAGGGTGAGTGGAGCATTTAGTGGAGGATGGTATTTCTAAGTGTTTCTCACACATGGTGCAAGTACTGGCTACCCCTGTAAAATGCAGCACAGGATCCCCAAATTGTGATCACTTTCGGACACCCGCTGAAATATTAAACCCCACAACATGCCTATGGTCCCCTGCAATCCTAGGAGGCAGCCCTCCATCCCAGCCCAGCTCCCAGTAGGTCCCAATCCCTTCCCATGTAGGGAAGGGAGTTATAAATCCACAGGCTCTCTTCAGAAAATACTCTGCCAATTCCTCCTGATAAGTAAGTGCAGAAACTGGAGGATTGGTAAAGATGTTATCTGCATTTAAAAAAAAGTATTGTGAAACTCAGGTAAGTTCTCACACACAGCAAAACCTGTAGAGCTAATAACATTTCATAAAATGTGAACTGAACTCAACCAATAAATTATCCAACAAATATTACTGGGTGAACTCTCAAAGACCCCCTTTACTTGGCTATTTCTGTTCACATTACTATAAGTATAAAAGTTCATTAAAAATTGGTTTCTACCCACAAGAAGTTTTGATTCTGGAGCATTTTCTCATCTTGGATTTAGATAAGAATTCAAAGTCTTAATTACTGCAAAAATCCTTTCTGCTCAGTTGAAAAAATAAAATGGGTAAAGCATCTCTAAATACACTGCTTTATTTTGGACTTTTTGTTCATATAGACAAACAATGCATTAATTAATAATTGATTAAGAACTCAACTCTTTTCATCGAAAATCACCTTCCAGTTTCAAAATAAATGAAAAGAAATGGTTCTTGCACAACAGGTTATTGAGGCTGTGGGACCCCAGACAAAGGATGTTGCAGATGCTAAAAAACTGCATGGGTTCAGGAGGAAGCTGGATACATCCATGGAAGAAAGATACACAGATGCCACGAACTAAAGAAAAACCACGTCCAACTCAGGAGGTTCCTGAGCTGAAAATGATGGAACTTGCTAGGGCATTAAAGAAAAGCCTCATACCTGCTTGTCCTGGTCTTACACTCTTCCCAAGGCATCTACTTTCCACTGCTGTCAGGAGGACATCATCTCAGCCAGGCATAAAACCAGCCTAGTGAGAGGACCTTTCCTTTAGAGAGCCGTAGCAATTGTAGTTCAGTTTGATTTCTGATGACTGGCCTCTAAAAGGCCAAAGATTTGTCTCCTTTCACACCTACATGCTTGAGCTAATGTGCAAGCCTATCTTCGCTTTGAAGTGGAGGTGTGGTCCACAGGAACGTGTGACAGTGCTTACTAACATGTAGCATTTCGGGGGCTCTCCCTGGTTTTGTTTTTATGCAAAAGCTGAAACAGTCTGTAATTTATTTGGTCTCTATACTACACACCCTCAGGTAGTGACTGCTCTAAAGTCCCCCATGGCATGGGAGGGACGAGGAGTGGGCTTCCACCACTATTGAGGTGCTCTGAGCCCCCAGGTGCTAAGTCCAGATTCAGAAGACACGGGTACCTCGTTTTTCTCAAGGCTGCATTCTGACATCACTTTATCTCCTTGCTCTTGGAAGGTGATGATGATTAACGCCACAAAGATGTTCACAAAGAAAAAAGGGAAGACAACAAAATACACCACGTAAAAGATAGACATTTCCATTCGGTAGCCAGGGCTGGGACCCTGTTCCTCGTAGGTAGCATCCACTGAGTGCTTCAGCACACTGCAATCAAGCGCAAAGAGAGAAGAAAAGTCAATGAAATCAGTGTGAAGCACCAATGACACCCTGATAGTCACTCACTGGCCTTCACTCATGTGGAGGGTTTTCCACATATGCTCAGGTCAAACTCTTTCCCATCTCTATGGCTGGGAAGAAGTTTTTCTTGAGGATATTTTTAGGGAAACCCTTGCTGTTTTCACCATTCTGCAGAATGATGGAGATTTGCTACGTACAGATCCACTTATCCCCCTGGCCAAGGGGAGAGGATACAGTTAGATCTGGCTTCTCTTCTCTGGTCAACAGGGATGAAGTAAGGATGGGAAAAGAAAAGTGTTGATGACCTCCAAGTAGGGGAACACAGTGAGGGACTGGAGAAGGGAGATAGATGCTGTATGTTTTTTTCTTTATTTTATGAAATAGCTGAATGTGGAGAACAGGGAAGGCCTGCCATAGAGAAACCCTGACCGTGAATTGTACTCCATGTGTCCCAGCAGAAAAATGTGCCAAAATAAAGTCGTATGCTGAACAGTAAATATAATTTTGGGACTGTCATACCCACCACACTTTCAGCATAGGTCACAATAGCTTTTGCCCTCATTTTCTTACATTCCCATTATCAGTTTTACACCTGGGAAAGGCGTGCAAGTCCAAAAGACTGGAGCAAGCAAGCTATTAAGTACTGAAAACTGCCTAAGCATCCCTGTGCAAGCTCAGAAGAACAAGGAGTAAAATGAAGAGCCCTGCCTGCTGATTTACCCAATAATAACACAAGGGAAAGTAAAAGCTTAGCTGATAAAAGGCTATTCTTATTTCACAGTTCACCTGCCATTTACATGTCCCTCAGAGCTGTGGAAAGCTGCCATTACCTCCTCGATCACTGACCCCGCCAGTCCCATGTACTCACGTTGGCCACCCTTCGCCTGTGGAGACAGTGAAGAGCGTGAGCAGAGCCCAGAGCACGTTGTCATAGTGGAACTCGTATTTTTTCCATTCCCTCGGCTGCGCCTCCACTTCATTTTTTTCATAATCGAGGTACTGACCCCTAGGAAAAGCAGAGATTCAAACCAAATGAGAGAATTAAACCAAATCAGCCATTTCATATGAGTCACTGAGGAGCATCGAAAATCCCCAGTAGCAGAGTCCGACTGTGCTATGTATTAAAGACAAATAAAGAGACAGCCCCTAGGTTTGTTAACAGAAGTAAAGACCATTCTTTGAGCCATTTTGAGCCACAGGAACTGGACCTGAGGTCTAGAAATGAAAGAAACTATGCTCAGGACATTCATCCATTAGGCAAAGCCAGCAATTAACAGCATGCTGGCCCCCACATTGTCTGACCCCACAGAAAACTGTGCTGCTTGATGGGAAAAAGTCTCTGGCTCCTACTTCAGAATTGGATCTAACTTCTAACTGGGTCCTGCTTTGAGGGGCCGAGGGACCTGGCATCTGGAGAGTTCCCCTCCAACCTACATTTTTCTATAATTACACATTTCTTTCTGTAATATATCTGCTTTATTGCAAGGAAGAACTTCAGTGACAGCCTCCGTGGCTGCAGTGTGCACGTGGTCCCACCAGGGATGTGCCCTGTGTTTGCAAGGTGGCAGGAGAGGGCTAACGTGGGCAGACCTGGACAGTGCTGAGAATGTGGTTTGGGTGCCAAGAAAAAGGGCAAGTGAGGAAGACGCACGTTGTGGTGAGTAAAGCACCTTGGCAGTCTGCTGTAAAGGTCAAAGCAGGACAGGGTTTTTAAGATATTCAAATACTGACCCCTTTTCTAGCTAATTAGGAGCTCTTTAACTTCCTACTGACTCACTTCTGATTATTTATTCATTATGTTTTCCTAATTCATACAAGCCCTAAGAACAAAGGCAGCAGGTAGAAAAAGGAGTCACACCATCTCTTCAAAAACCCTTTACCTTAAAATCATACTGAGCCCTCCCTGGGAAAAGGAGCCTGCTCCCCCGTATCATTAAGCATTTGCTAGATCAGACCCAAGAATGATGCAGCTCTTAAAACAACAAAAGGGAAAATTCATCTCTAGGGTAAATGTGCTGAAGCATTGCTCTTCCTTAGAGGAGACTCATCAAGCTCAGCAGATACCTGACTGATGCAGCTCTGGGACAGTCAAGGGACCTGCTGCTGCCAGAGGAAAGTCGGGCTCCCCACCGACAGCCCCTGCCCCTGGCCATACCTGCAGTCCTTCTCCAGCTCCTTCGACTCATCCGTGCAGTAGAAGAATCTGCCTTTGAAGAGCTGCACAGCAATGACGGCAAAAATGAACATGAAGAGCATGTAAACTATGAGGATATTGAGGACATTCTTCAGGGAATTCACCACGCAGTCAAAGACAGCCTGGGGATGGAGTAGAACAATGTTAAGGGGTTGAAAGAAAAGAAAAGAAAAATGCATCTAACATCTTGGCATCTAGCATCTAACTACACTTGGAAGTAATTACCCAACCTACGACCCATGGATGGTTTCATGGACTAGCACACCAAGTGTTGGACCAAGAGTCATGCTGCAGCTGTGAGAGATAATGCCGACTTCCTATCCTTTCTCAATGAGTTTGGCTGTGCCACTGAATTTTCTGGTGCTGTCCATAAAATTTATAAAGATAATTGCAGCTTGTTGAGATAAATAGTAGTCCTCAGCAAATACTTCCATGGCCAATTATGAAATGAAAAACGTACTTGAGTTTAATTTATTCCCAGTGGATAGGTAAAAACTCATCAAATGTGTTGCTCGTTGACCATTATTTGAACTGTTTGAATAATAAGAAAAATATACCAGACACAAAACAACCAAATGCTTCAAATAATATTTTTCTAGTGAACTGTCTATCAAAAGTTAAGTGTGGCTAATCTAGTCAGCATATGTCAGTTCTGAACTCCCTGCAAAGAACTTCTCAGATACGTTTATTATTTGGTTATTAGTCACTGATTCATTGTTACAAGTAATTTGCAGTTTAATTTTAGTCTAAGTTTGTCATAATAATATAAATTGAACAGTCCTACTGCTGAAGCGTGGGGTTTGTACAATACTGTTTCTGTTTCTCTGAATGGAAGTGAATAATTCACAAAATTACACTCATGATGCAACCCAGAAATCCTGAATTAAAACACTGGAAATATCTCTAATCACCCCATTAATCTTGCTGATTGTTGCACACAACATCACATCCAGGAAAAAAATAATTGAAAGAACTTTGAAGACAAACCATATGAATATGACTTCTGCTTCACATAAAGAGTTCTGAATACTTCTTTAGAGGTGGTAAAATTACTCTGTAAAATGGCTTGAAAATAAGGAAGACATTCAATAAAAAGCAAGCATTCAGTCCTGCTGTAGGACTGAGCTACTGTTGTCTGTTTTATGACCTAAGAGCTGTACATTTCAAATTTCTAAACAAATAAAGACTATTTTCTACATTGTTCAACATTACTCTTCCTTATCATTTGAGGTAAATTTAGTACGCATAAAAATGCATAAAATCAAAATTATTTAAGCATGAATTATGGGGAATGATAAAAGCAAGACTATGTAACAGCTGACCATGATTTTTACATGCCACTATGTGAAAACAGGAATTGTCAGACATAGTTTCACCATTGCAAAAGCACCCATCGCTTCTTTTTCCCTGTCTCTCACAGAAAAGAGCCTGCAAGCAGTGATGCCACATGAAGACCTTTTACAATAAGTGTTCAAGAGTTCCCAAAACTCAGAAATTATTAAATTTTGTAACTCCTTCCATTCTCTGTTTCCAGGGGCTGGCTGTATCTCAAAGCATTTGTGAAATGGTGTTGAATAAGTAACCACAGGCCATTACATTTATTTTACTTTGTAACTTAGTATTCTAGAGATGAAAGGGTACTGCTATAAAACCCTGCACTATATATTCTTTAATAGAAAAGATGAACAGATTAAAAGTCCTCATACACCAATGACATTTCTCTTTAGACAGACTGTGGAAAATCTTGCAATATTCATGTTAAGTTCTCTAGGGAAAGTCAAACACTCCAAAACCTATTTTCTCTTATATCATTTCTAAGACCATCACACTTATGAACTGTAATTTATTTGCATTTTTTTCTTATCTTTTTTTAGAAGCTTGATTTTAATATGGATTCACAATAATTCATAATATTGCATACAATGTTTGCAAAAGAAACAAGTGTTTGACATTTGCTAAACATCTGCACAGCTATTTTTATAAATCTGGCAAAGAGATTAATTGCAACAAAATAAAAGGAACACAAATAACTTGGATTAAGTTTAGTCCATCAACTTCCACTCAGATCAGTTGCAAACCTCCAGAGAAGGAAAGATTTGTGGTTATTCTCTAACCTTTAGTTTTGGCAGCCGTTTAATGGTCTTCAGTGGTCTTAGGACCCGCAGAACTCGCAGGGACTTGATTGTGTTGATGTCCTTGCCTTTGGTTCCTCTGCAAAGGATAAAAGGCACAAGAACAACAGAGGGAATAGTTTGGTCCTGAGGTCACTAACTGGAATATCTATAGGTACCCAGTGTGGTTTTGGTTGTGGAATAATTTGGGGGTTTTTTTACAGGTTTTGGGTGCCGTCCTCACCACAGATGCAGACAGTACTAGTGAGGACTGCAGATGAACGCCCACTTGAGACGTGTTAATCACCGCACAGGAGGAAGGCTGTGGGCAGGATATGGTCCTTGCAGCATTCAGCCACACATGCTCTCCAGCCTTCGCTCGCTTCCCAGCTACTCACCAAGCATCAGCCAGGAACCGGTGACCTTCCTGCCCCAACTTCCCACCCAGGCAACGGTCCAAGCCAGGGCAGCAGCACACCTCGGCTGCAGCCACCAGGAGAGGAGGCTCAGTACATTCATCCCAGCCCCAGGCAGGAGAAGTGAGAAAGCCACACGTGGCTCTCCTCCCTCCCAGGCACCTGGGTGAGACAGGAGGATGTTTCTCTGCGTGCTTCTTGCACTTCTCTGGCAGGGACGTTGTGTCTAGACGAGCAGACGGTGACCAGAGGGAACTGGAGCCTTCCTGGTGAGGGACTGAGCTCCCCTGGGGACCAGAGCGGCTCCATGCCCACACCCTCATCCTCGAGTCTCTCTTGGAAGACATGCTACCAAACCCATGCGGGAACATGTAATATGACAGCATATTACATGCCTGGAACAGTGCTAGGGCAACTTCCCACTTACACATGCAGGTGCTGTAAGTCACATTTTGGTTTTAGTTTTTGTTAAAACTGAGTGCAAGACTTGAGACCGTTCCTCTTGCTACCATTAAGAGGTTTTTAGGGGAAGGACAGAGTTCCTTTCCTCGTGCACTTCCAAAATAAATTAAAAAAAGACACGGTTACATCTTCTTCCAACCCAACAGCAAAACAATGACATTCCCCTTCATTTCATATGAAGTGAAAAATGGGATGAAAATCTTTAACAGAGTTTTATTCATGACTACAGGTTTGGGTCTGAGACTGCATTGAAGAAACACAGGTGTGAATGAGTAACACATTGAACAGATGCTGATATACCTATTCTATGCTCTTCCGGTTCGCTAAACATTTCTCTTCTCCAACAGGAAAACAATAGAAATACAAGTAACGCGAGAGACCCACAAGAGGTATGTGCAGGTAGTGGATTGCAAAGCTTCCCCCACCATGCTAGCAGCCAGCCCTATGCACTATGCTAAGGGATAAGCACCAAGAGCAGAGGAAACCACCCAGTTTCGTGGCTGGCTGACCTTGCTCAGCCCTAGAAGGTGTCTTTTTGCAATCTATCCACTTCTAAAAGACTAATAACTCAGTACTAATACTGTACTACTCAATACTAACACTGGACTGGAATCTGCAACCTAGAACACGCATTCCTGTGTCATCTCCGGTCTCTTTCTCCAATTACCAGTCACTGCAATTGTCCTGAAATGCAATAAGCAGTGAGGCACAAGGAATTTTTGGAAGGCCATGGGTTGTATCCCAATGACTTATACATTGAACACAAGTTGCCTTTGCATATGATTTAATAGAAATGGAGGAGAGGGGGAACAGGATGGAGGCTTACCTGTCCTCTCCCTATCTCATCTTTCAGGGCTGCTTCAGGGCCATTTTAATCAGCTGCAGATGGATCCTGACTGCTGGCATGGCTGTAAATCCAGGTGACTGAGCTAATTAATACTCATGGAGTTACAGGACTGATTTAATGCCACAAAATAACTATTATATATTTAAAAGAAATTATTTTTTATTCTCATTAGAGACTCTTTAATCTGGTTAAGATGAAGCAGACACTGCCAACATAGCTTTTACTGACTTTCTCTTCAGGTTTTAGCACAACTGAAGATCTGGCCCATGTTTGGCTTTGCATTCTTGCTTTCAAATCACCAACTCTTAGCAAGCAACAATCTTGCCACGGTCACTGCAGCCGTCTCCTTGTCACCATAGCCTCCAGCTGAGCCACCCAAACTGGAGGTCACCTACTCACCAGGCAGCTTTGTCTGATCCTTAGCAATGCCTGGCTGTACAACAATTTGTTCAGCCTCTTGAGGAGGAGAGTCAGTGGCAGGAGGGAAGTAGTAGGGGAAATAGGTTACCGGGGTGGAGGTACACCTGGCTTGGCCAGCCTGTCCCCACAGCTGATGGTCACCCAGCACATGCCCATCATCTTGGCTGCCCCTGCTTCTCCCTTGGCCCTCTCCCCTCTGGAAGGCCAAGCAAATCACTCGGGTTGCTCCATGTTGCCCAGCCATTTGGGGTTTAACTAGATGAGGAAGCCAGAGCAGAGAGGGTGAAGAGGTAGGAGCTGAGGAAAGTAGAGGTGAGAGGAGAGTGAAGGTGAGAGGGTTAAGGGACATGTGGTTGGGGCAGTAGGAGGAAAAAAGAGGTGGGATACCTTGGCCCAGAACTATATTCAATTCTCGATCATTTGTGGCCACGTTTCTGGTTTGCAGATTAACACGCACAGCCCAGCTTAGTGGCACAGCCACTGACAGGTAGCAGCTGAACTAATAAATCTCAACAGCCCTCACCCGGGTTCAAGCAGAACCACAGAATATTTCTGTATGATGTCTTCCAGTGTTCCTGATTCCAGGAGACCTAACCACCTATTTACTACACTGCCATGCATTTCCACTAAATAACAACTGTACTAGTAAGGCTTCCTGGAAGGAAAGTTCAAGACGAGAACAGAGAAACTTCTTGGCTCTGAAGGAGCTAGCTCAGGTCTCACAAGCCTGAAGCAACAACCTCTGTGGACTTAATATTTCTAGGAAGGTTAAACAGACCTACTAGACTAGTGAATAGGTGGGGCAGAGCAAATCCTTCCTCCTGGGTCTGAGAGAAGCAGCTGTTTTTCCCTTGCACGGGGAGGTGTGTGGATGACTGCACTGAGAGCTTGGAGGTGAAGGGCAGACAGCTCCAGTCCTACAAAATTCCTTCTGCCTGAATGAAGGACACTAAGAAGCATTGATTTTTATTTTTTTTTCCTTTCAGGCACCTAAGCAAACAAAGAGTATGAGCCAATTAAATGTTAATGGGATTTATGATCTAAGTCATATAGAGAATCTTGAAAAATCATACTTATTTCTTGTCACAGTAAGGTTCCTGCTATAGGAGAAAGCTTTTTCAACAGACTGGTACTCCAAACTAGAATGATGTAAATTGCATTTTAATTAAATGGAGCTTCTGCAACTATTTCAGCCTGTCAAATAAAACCTTAAGGGTTGTTTTCGATGTTTTTAAGAACCCCCTCTGAAATACTGGTTTTTATATCACTAATACAAAGTGAGATGTCCCACAAAATAAAAGGTCCAGATGGAACTAGGATTCAGTCAAAAGGTGTATACAAGCACACATTTGACCAGAGTATTTCTCACAACGAAAATAAATTGCTATGGAAGGACAAGATCTTAGGCGACTGCAGAATAACAACTATAAAATTCAGAAGAAGTACAGAAGAGCAAGCAGGATAAAAACAGACAGTGAACAGAAGCCCAATGACTTTAAAAAAAAAAAAAAAAAAAAAGAACACCAGAAAGAAAAAATTGTATTAGGTCAATTCTGGTTGCATTAGGTCAGTTCTGGTTGCATTAGGCCAGTTCTGTTTTTCTGGGGGAGTTTGCTGCTCATTTATTTAAAATAATAAAAATATTTTAAAAGAGCTTTGCATGGTCTTTTTTCCTTTAATAAATAAAAGATCCTTTAAAAAATTAATAGTTCTTTATAATGGAAGCTTCTTGTTTCTGTTGCTTCTGCCAGCAGCTCTGATTTCACATAACATGGTCCTCTTAGAGTCATGTCATCAAATATTCAGAGTAGGGTGGAGTCACTGCCTTCTGCAATTGCCTGAAGTCCCCAAGGCAGAAAGTGAATTCCTCCACCAAAGAGTAAATGAGCTCACGCAACTCTGCCCAAGCACAAAGCCACCCTCTCCCAGGATCTACACGATCTGGCTTCCTAGACAGAAGAAACAAATACCCAATTTCCTGGACCACATCAAAGACCTTTCTTTACGTCCTTTTCATTGCACCTCTGGGTTATCTGCTGTGGAGAATCCCACCTGAGCTCCCGCCCTGCTTGAAACTGTGGTGTGAGATGATGCAGCTCTGCCTCCCCTCTGTCCCCGAAGCAAAGCTGTGCCGTACCACACCGATGACAAAACTGTCACCTCCTGGCAGATGGTTAAATGCAACTTTTGCTATCTCCTTCTTTACAAGTTGCCCCTGCCAACCTCTCAAAAGGTATCTACACCCTGTTTTCACGTCAAAGACTTTTCACCAATGTCAGAGGCTGACAGCCTGAATCCCAGCTGGGTCATGTTGTCCAGACAGCACAAGATTAGTCCTGAAGCTTCCAGCACCGCTAATGCGGTTTAGAGGTGCAATCCTCTGAATGAGAATAAAACTGCTTCTTTAAAGCTAGTTATTAAGATTTTCATGAATTGCAACTCACGCATTAATGATGTACCTACTAAGTCATCCCCTCGGATCTTTTTGGTACACGTATATCTGCTTATCATGGTTTCTGACTCTCTGGTCTACTTGGCTTTCTAGTCTGCTTCTATCCTCTGCTTAAACAAAATTAGGATGAATGAGGACTGTTAAGGGAAAATACATTTCACTGAATAATGAGTAATAAAGGGACAAAGAAGTTGATGCAATGAGTGTAACATGGTTCGTTTCCACAGTGGCAAGTGTGTGTACACACATTTGACAGGCATAACAGTGCAGCAAGAGACAGGAATAACATATTACCCCATGAAACTCCTAGAGAGAGATTCCAGCAAGAAGAAGACAAAGAAAGAGCAGAGTCAATGACAAACAGAAACATAAGGCTATACAGTGCACCCCATGCACATACAAATATGTGCTGGCAGATAATCCCATCCCCTGTCCCACACCCACCAACTCAATGTTCATAAAAATAAACAAGCAAGGAAGCAACAGATTGGCTATACAGCATATACCCACACATTCCCCCAGGGTGCCTCAGCCCTTTCGACTGACAAGCAGACAGGGCACATATACCTTCATCCTCCTGACACTTAGGGAGATAATAACCTTGATTGTTTGGCAAATGCTGTTTGCTTTTTCAAAGAGCAGTGTGAAATTCTGTGCATCTCAGCCACCTTTCTGTTGTTGAAAATTTTAAAATGCAATCTCTTTGCTGCTATTCATCAGCTATCTCTATTGAACAAGTACATTTTACACCTGGGGCTGATAAATTTTGATGACAAATTTGCTAGCTTGCTTTAAGCTCCTCTACTTCTATTTCCCTAAAGACTAAAACATGTCTTTTATGTTTGTGGCATGTTTACCTCTAGAAAAAGCAAGGAATTTCTCTTTGAAATACATTGCTAAATGGAAGACATTTTATTATTATATCACCATCAGTATTACTAAAGTTTCTAGCATCTCACTGGAAGCCTTGTTTTAAAAATTTATTTTTTTTTTTTTTAACTACAGTCAAGCATAGAACAGCTTCTAAAGAGCTACAGGCAGAAAGTAGACTGATAGCTAGTTTGAGAGGCTGAGAGGGATTTTATGAACCTTGCAGCAATGACTGATACCATCTCGTATGCCTAAACAAACATAGGCTGTTGCAATATTCCAGATGGAAGCGTTTCAGGGAGCTCTGTTTTTCCTAGGGTTTCAGTGATATGTCTATTCAGCAAGAAGTTGATTCACATCACCTTCACTGGACACCAATGAGGTTAAGAACATGCATGAATTAAATCACACCCACTGAGTGGCAATTGCATATTCTTGCAAACAGAAAAACTGGTAACAGCCACGTTAAATACATTTTTACAGTGACACTGATGAGTGACAGGACTGTAGTGTTTGCTAGAAAAAGCCCACTAACAAAACAACAAAGATTACCAAGTTTATTCTCCGAAAGCTCATTTTCAGGATTATCAAAATTCAGCAGGCTTGGTGCGTCCATCTGGTTTAACCAAACAATGCAGTTGAGCTAAGGACATGACTATCTACCCAACTGTCATATGAGCAGTCTGAGACTTGTTAGCATTCATAACTGGACTAGCGGGAACAGAGAGCAAGTCATCTCGTACGAATGACTGGATTTCCTGCTCTCAGGTTAGACCAGAGATACTGCAAGCATTCTCTGAACTGGACGTCGACACTCACTGCCTGCTGAAACATGGACACGTAGCAGAGGTTAAAGTGATAAGAAAAATCACAGAAGAAATTCAAATTTTTCCAAGTCTCAGAAATAGGTTTGACTCACTTTAATCTGGGACACAATAAATAGGCAGGCAGGTTTTTTTGCATTCAATTTCTGTAAATCCCTGCTCAATATTTACTCAAAGAGCATGTAAAATAGAAGCAGCTTGGGGCACACTATTATGAAGCACAGTCAGGGGATGTGCAAGTAATTTATTCAGAGGCTGATGAGGTGCTGTTAGATATTCACGGCCCAATGTGAGCAATAGAAAACCTGAGCACAGACTCAGAAAGATTAAAAATTATTCATTTCAATCCATAACTTGTCCAAAGGAAAAATCTTGTTCAAAGAGAAGATGTTTTAAAGGCAAAGCCTGATGTTTGTCCTCACAGCACACAGAGTTGCTCTGAAGGGCTCACAAAACGCCCCTTCTCCCAGTCTGCCTTGAAAGTTTGAATTCTTAATGGAAAAGGGAAATTCTCAGTGAACCACAGGCTTGGGTAACATTGTTTTGCAAACTAATACTTGTGACTAATATTATTTTACTTTTATACCTCTCTTCAATTCAGAGGAGCTCTGTTTACTTGATAAACCTTTTTTTTAGTCAGTTTTTGCTTAACTCAGTCTGACCACATCCAGTTCTGAAAGATGTTATGCTAATATATTTCATGTGTGAAACTAAGCCACACATATGTCTAGTCAAGCTTAAAAAGCAGCCTCATTTTGGATGTCAAATTTTAGGTAAGCAAGACATCCGTCAGACCAGACCAGCAATTCCATTTCAAGGCAACCTTGCTTACAACAGAGCACTCAGCTACTCTGAAAAACAAACTTCTAATGAATAGGGACAAAGTCTTTAAAGAAGGCAGGACAGTGTCCCTTTGAAAAATTTATCTTGGACATGACTTGCTCCAAGATCTAAATTCATTGGTGTAGGATTGGGCACAGAAAGCCCAGACCCCAATATTGCCAAGTGTCACTCCTCAACTGGCTTAAAAAATCCTACCAACAATGTCAATCCCACCTCCTTCATTCCATCCACTCCTTGGTCAAATTAGCTTAGACATCTTTATCCAGCATTTACTATGAAGAATAGAAGATCTAAAATACAAATCTCACAGGCTGAATGTGAAAGGAATTTTGACACCTCAGAAAATGAAAAAATCCTGAGAAATATTCCAGGCCAATGTTACCAGAAAGGTCCCGGTAACTTTTTGTGCTGCAAGGGACATGGCAGTATTTTTCATCAGCAGTGCACGTAAGAGGAGCAATGGATATGGCCATCTGCCTAAAAATTACTGTCAGTCTAAAATATACAAGACACGCTTCTGCAGTTCCTTGACAAAGGTGAATACTTTTTCTCATTAGCAAGTAAAACACTGCTAATTTCTTCACCTTCTCTAATCATCATGTCAACAAACAGGTGAATGGAGTTTGGGCATGAGCTGCTAAATGTTCACTGTAATTACTCAAGGCTAATTTAGCGGAAGATTAAACTGACCAAGTCCTGTAGCCTGTTTCCAGGTCATCTCCTAGAATTTCTCAGGAAAACATTTGTAAGACAATTATTCTGTGGCCCAGAGCTACACATGGAAATTTTCTTTCCATCATCCAACTCTGAGCTCCCCAAGTTCTGAAGAACCCGCATTGCTCTTCCTCTGGTCTCTTTTGAGAAAAATGCTCAAACAAAAAGCTAATCATTTCATTTTTAAAAAGTAGTTCCTCTGTGTCTCTAGCTCAAAATTCTCCATGACATTAAAGAAGCACATGGAACATTATTTAATGTCATAAATAGAGAGCTGTGACTGAGGGAGGGAGCAATTAGCCTTAGAAGTTAAACTCTCTGGAAATGCAAGTACCCTGAATGAGAGAGGAGGAGGAGAGAGAAATACCAAAGGTATCTGAACTAGAAATATCCATCACTGTAGAAATAATCTTTTGTAAAGAGTTCACTGAGTTATCAGCTGATTTCATTAACTATTTTTTCATAGGAAGAGCAATTTTTAAAACAATTGCCTGAAGACACTGGACTGCCACAAAGTGTTACAATGTGTCCTTGAAAAGAAGTTGGCCAAATGATCACAAAAATCTTGGCTTAATCTTTGAATGAACAGTGAACAGAGTCTCCCTAAAGCTGGGAGAATTTTCAAGAGATTCTACAACACAAATTTAGAGAACTTCCCCCCCCCCCCCAACTATAAGATGATAAAGGGCAGAAATTAAACATTTTGCTGAGAAATGGAGCCATAAAAACTACGCTTCAACTAGCTCTGTGCCAGGGTCCTGCCTCCTCTGCAACTTATTTCCTAGAAATTGGGATGTTAAGGAAAATGTACTTACGAGAAGGCAAACGCCACCAAGGCCCCACTGACCACAATGAAGTCCAGGATATTCCACAGGTCACGGAAGTAGGAGCCAGGGTGGAGTAACAGCCCCAAGTCAATCATCTTCAGATGAAACACGTGAAAAGAAAGAGTTTTAATATAACAAGTACCAAATCAACACGACCAAGGTACAGAGGAATGTCCTTGATAAATGACCCTTCACAAATTCTTCTTCAGGGCTTCACAGCAGCAAGGCAATATCTAGATACTTAGTCAAGCTGCTCATCTCTAATAGGCACAGAGAGCTCTGTCAAAACTGAAGCTGAAGTCAATAAACCGTAACCAAAAGCATGAGAGACAAGAGTACTAGCTGCTACATAGGATTCTTTGCACAGACATGCATTAATTTATGGCAACAGCAATCTGTGTGTGAAACATCCAAATAGTTTAATTTTATTCTACTCCAATCCTACCAGATTAGTAGGTATTAACAACTGGCATAGGATATTACACAATAAAACACAAAGAGAGGATGGGAAGACCCACAGAAAATGCAACAGTCAAAGAAATACACCTGCTCCGGAGCACTTACTGAAAGATGCTGCTCAGTGTAGCAGCCTGGCTTGCTTCTGCATGAGACTGAGCCTCTCCTTGCAATGCTGCTAAAGATCTTCTACAGTTGAGTCTCAATGTGCATGCTAGACATTTTACGTGTTTTTCTGAGAGCCTACAACTGCCCATGTAAGGTTGCTTTCCTCACATAGCTTCAAATCCTTCTACTGAACAAACAAGGGAAAATCTGTTTTTTATTCTGCACCTCTTTTGCATCTTGCTCTGACAGTAAAAAATAACTCCATCATTTCCCCAAGAATAAATCCTGACTTTATTAGAACTGTGCTTTCTGGAAAGTTACTGCCCCACAGTCTTAGCAAAACCTATCACCCTACTGAGTAAAGTAAAAAGATAACTCCTCAACTTTTTGAAACATGACAGACCAAGAATCAGTTGCTATTAATATTCCTGATCAGCATTAAAGGAAAAGGAAAGAATCGGATGTGTTTCAGTAAGGTCTATCAGCTCCTGTGTCCTTAGTTATGCACAGACATTTCTGCATCAGGCACTCACATTTCTTATCCTCTTACACAACCACAGCTACTAAAGATATCCTTATTTTCCTCCATAAAATGAGAGATTAAAGAAACCAGGAGAGCCGCTACAGAAAGGCATCTGTTGTGCACTGGCTACTTCCGAGTGCTGCTCCTGAGTTAAAGCTTTCCATCACCACCACCTTTCCAGGCACCCTGGGAGCTCTGTCATGCTCCAACCCTCTTCCTCCAGTTTCCCAGAAGTAGAAGAGTGTAAATCTGAAAGGGGAGGTGAACCTTTCCGCTTGGAAAAATTCTTACCTTGATCACCATCTCAAAGGTAAAGACACCCGTAAATATATAATCCAAGTATTTCAGAGCCTAAATGGGAAAGAGAAATGCATATCAGGGGAGAGTATACACTGAAATAATCTGCACATGAACAAAGAGTAAAAAGTCTTTTCTAGCAATGGTCTATTAGCTACAATGGGTAAGTATCATCTGATGGGAGGCTTTCAAATAGTTTAGGCACAAGCTTGAATCACCTGATTTAAAGAGCAACTTTTTTTCCAGTCCTTGCCAGACTGCAGTATGCAGGCCCATGCGCTGCTTCAGTGCACCTGCATATATGGCAGGTTTAAAAAGGCAAAATGGATATTTCAAATCGAAATATTTGAATAACCTTTCCTAAAGAGCTTATTTGCCAGCATCTGTGTAGCAGCCTGGGTTTCTTTTCTGCTGTAGCTGATGATAGTACTATTAAAGACCTTGGGAGAGTAAGAGAGTGATAAAATCCTTTTTGTAAAACTGATCCCACAGTTATTAAAGGAAGAGGAAGAGAGATTGCTCATAGCTACTTCAGCTCATTACTGATATAAGGATTCGTGGATCCTCCTCTGGAAAAAGCTAATACTGACCAGGTTCAGAAGCAGGAGGCCAGGCCAGGCAATTCCTGCTCTAACCTGGTCTGCCAACTCGTGCTCTGAAGCAATTCAGTTCCTTAATCTGTTTAAGGGGTGGATGAACACATATCCCTCAGTACATGTCCTGGTAAACGCAATATCAGTCCATTCGAATATCTATAGATCTCCTAAATTTTAACATAATTCTGTGGATGGGATGCACCTACTCACAGTCAGATTCATAGGATTATACATAGCAAATGAATATTAAGACAATATAAATATCACGATATCCACATACTGCAACTATCTACACTGAAGATTGCCAAAATTAGGCAACTGCATCTTGCAATTTCTATACATAATCTTCAGTTCTGTAGACTCCCTGTTGTCCACGTAACTGTAACCAGCTCTGTGCCAATGTCCTCATGTGAGTGTGCTTGAAAATAGACACCCGGCTATCTGCTTCATGAACTCTCCTGGGCTGCATGCTCTCATGTAAAAGGTGGCGCACTCCTACTTCTGCTCGTAACAGCACCCATCTATAAAGTCTCCGAGTTTGGTGTGACAGCCATAGATAAGTAGATTTGCTACTAATTCTAAGAGATTGCTACCATGCCCCACCAAGATAAAAAGCCTGGTTTTAGTTCCTCAGGCTCTGCTCTAGAAGGAGCAGGAGATCTTAGGACAATGTCAGCTTTACTTGTGACTGGGGAAGCCCTTCCCACCGCTGAATGGTGTGTAAGCTTTGCAGGCTTCTTCCACATAAGTCACACCAGCCAAACAACCAGCGATTTCCACGTTCTCAAACTTGGATGTGGTTGAAGCACAAGAAAGGGACAGGAATTGTGAGCATTTTGATAGTGGTTTTTGCTGGTTTTGACTGGCATAGAGTTAATTTTCTTCATAGTAGCTTGTATGGGGCTATGTTTTGGATTTGTGCTTGTGTTGATAATGCAGGGATGTTTTTGTTACTGCTGAGCAGTGCTTACACAGCACCAAGGCCTTTTCTGCTCCTCACCCCACCCCACCAGCGAGCAGGCTGGGGGGGCACAAGGAGTTGGAAGGGGACACAGCTGGGACAGCTGACCCCAACTGACCCGAGGGATATCCTAGACCATAGGACGTCATGCTCAGCATATAGAGCTGGGGGAAGAAGAAGGAAGGGGGAGATGTTCAGAGTGATGGCTTTTGTCTTCCCAAGTCACCGTTAGGCGTGCTGGAGCCCTGCTTTCCTGGAGATGGCTGAACACCTGCCTGCCCATGGGAAGTGGTGAATGAATTCCTTGTTTTGCTTTGCTTGCATGCGCAGCTTTTGCTTTACCTATTAAACTGTCTTTATCTCAACCCACCAGCTTTCTCACTTTTACTCTTCCAATTGTCTCCCCCATCCCATAGTGGGGGAGTCAGTGAGCAGCTGTGTGGGGCTTAGTTGCCAGCTGGGGTTAAACCATGACATAGTAAACCAGCTAATTTGAGGATGTTATTAAAGAAAGCTCCAGTTTTGCACTTGCCAGTGCACCGTGTTATCCTTTGGAGATGGGAACTGACATGCCATGTGCATAACTTCTGGGAGAAGTAGGACAACTTTATTCTAGCCATGTTGGTTGGTACTTACATCGTTCCTCGGTGACTCGGCTTGGACAGGATCTTCTGCAGCCAGGGCAATGCTGCTGAGGGCTATAACTATGAGGATGACCATCTCAAAATAGCGCAGGTTGACAATGTAGTGGAACAGACGCCGAATCCTGCAAACAACATAAGCACATAGAAGGGCTATTGCAGGTCCTGTAAGTCAAGTGCAGTGGTATGAAAGACTGGCAGAAGAACAACGTTCATCAGGAATATCACCTTTAGGATTCCTATTACAATAATGGTAAGATAATAAGAACCAGGATCAATGGCTTTAAACTACAGTTTGCAACAGATCTGTGGTGAGATTTAAAGACATTTAACATCTTTGCAGTGGTCTCTATCCCCTCTGCAAAGCAATGACATATATTTATCTGTCAAAAGGGCATTGAGAGCTTTCAAGCATTCAGACTCCATTCTACAAATTATGTTTATATACTCCCCCATCCTTTTCACTTTGAACTCAACAGGCTGGAGTCCTGTGCGTTCAAAACTAGGTTTGAAATCCTTTTAATATCAACTAATCCCTTTAAAATTGAGATATATGCTATGCACTTTGAGACTCTTAGCTGAAACTGGCTTCATAACTATGAGTATTACTTCTACCAGTCTCTCTCTTGCCAAGTACCTCTGTCTGCACTTATATTCTAAGATATGCTTTATAAGCTGCACAAATACTTTACAGTAATATATTTGATTACTTTAACCTAATCTTTTTCTTCACAAATTGTGTCCAAAAAAAGTGACAAACGCTTCAATTCCTAAGCAATGCAAAACTATTCAGAAATTTCAGCTAATAACTGTATCTGACCACAATTCACAAGTACTTAACTGCACAGAGAACTCTACATTTGCACCATATTTGTCAGCTGAATAAAAGACTTAGCTCCTGCCTGAGAATCAAATTATACGTGTAACTTGCCAACAACCTTGTTATCTCAGAACGTAATTCAGTTACTATATCACATTTTCTCTAAGCAAATATCTGAACAGTTAGAATTAAAATTTATTTTTCACATCTACTTATATATTCTTTTTCTCTGGATTGCTAATGGATTCAGAATGAAAAAGAGTTACAAATACCAAGGAAACAGATTTGATACAAAATAAGATGAAGAAAATTGCTTTTGTGGATCCCTTAACTCTGGTTATCAATCTGACAGAAGAATATTATTATCTGTGTGCTCCATGAATCCCTAGAAGTGAAAGGCAACATTTTCAGTAACATTTGTAACTGTAATTCTTGCATCAAACTCAATTCATCAAAGAAATAAGTCCCTATTTTTAAATCTTCATCATTCATAACCAGCACTGAGATGTGGGAGCATTTGTAAACTGCCAGTAGTGCTTGAGAAATCATTTTAAATGCATGTCTGCTTTAAGAGGGTGATGGCACTTGGAAAGTAATACATTTCATTTATGCTTCTCAGAACCGTTTTGCCCACTAGCAGCACCCGGGTCATGCATCCCCAGCAGGGCTTGGAAGGGAGATAGTTAGCAACAGATGTGGTGAAAACCTTCATACCCCAGAAAGCAGAAAGACCTCTCTTGAGAATTAGCAGCAGCCAAAACACCTGAGGGGATCCAGCTGGGTCTGCATCTTGCCCAGAGGAAGAAAAACAAGTTGCTGACATTCCTAGAGTTTGGTCTTTGTCTTGTTATTTCCCCTTGGCCCTGTGTTATAATACATCTCTCCCAGTGAGCTTTGTTTTTTCAATGGTCTTTTAGTACAGTTTTGAGGGGAGGAGGGAGCGTGCTGGAGAAAACTGTAAGATGACTGAAACAACATAGCAAATCCTGGACTATGAGCCTCAGAAGGTCATAACTGCAGGATGAGGTGAGAGAAGACAAGCATTCGTATGAAAAAAAGAAAAGTCTTGCTGCTTCTCTGTCTGCCCAGTCCACTCCTCAGCTCAGACCCTTCTGGGCTTGGGACCATCTAGCTTTCCACTCTGCAATACTGCCTTTAGCAGACATTTTGCAGCTAACACTCATTTTTGGTGATCACTCCACAACAAAAAGACTTGAGCTACCAAATATTAAGGAAATACTGTTTCCTTATCAACCAGACAGGGTCCAAGCCCCATAATTCAAATTTGACCCAGAAAGCATAATTACATTATAGGTGCACCTCATCTAATGCTCTGCCCTTGCCTTAGCTGCCTTTTACATGAATCCAAAGGACATGTTGCCTTATTTGAAATAGCACAATGCTATCACAGTATTCTGAAAAGGGGAAACTTTCTAGGCTTTTGGCTCAGTTACCCTAAAGCATCCTGAGGTCTACCTGGCAGCTGGCTGCAGAAGGCAAATGGGAAAGACAAGTGCCTCTCTTGTGGGTTTGAGACAGAAGGGGCACGTTTTGAGTCTTCAGTTCATTTCCTTTGGAGATGGGATTAGATGAGCAGTAGTTTGGGGTCATTCTCCCTCACAGCTGGCATTGAGAGATAGTCTCTAACTTCTCCCACTGATGAATTCCTTCTGTGCTCATAGCTGTATCACCTTGGAGCATGCAGGGCTGTAGCCTGAACTACACAGCTGGCACTTGTGTTTAAAGAAAGTATTCAGCCTGCCTACTGTCCCAGGGTGCCAGACCATGGCTTCCACCACAGATGCATTTTTGATATCAAAGATGAGTACACGGAGCAGCCCATTTTGTTCCACCGACTGCATAGGCAGCCATGACGTCACAGTCCTGAGTAGCAGGAGGTGTAGAAGCACTCATTCTTCTCTTCAATCAAGTTGCCAAAGGAAGGGCCTGAGTTCACCTTAGGAATCTGAGCATGCAGAGTACAACCTGAGAGAGTAACATCTAGGATCTACAACAAGCCTACGTGAGCCAGAGAGAAAGGATCACATCTGCTCCTAGCAGATCTCTGGGTTGGCAGAAGTTTCAAACGCCCTCCGTTGCCCTAAGTTATTGCTTAAAATGATTCACAGGCCTTCATGCTACAATTATTACAACCCCTGCTGCTCTTGTCTAGTCCTGCAGCTCTTCAGAGCGACACATTCAGTATTTACAGGCTTTGAGTACAAAGCTCCCCATGAGGCAGAGATGCCCGAAGCGGAAGAAATGCTGTAATCCCAACAGATCCCACAAGCTGTACTCTCAGCCTTAGCAAATGAAAAATATTCACTTTTTCCCAGAAGTTCTAAGTTTTCAGTGATGCGATGGTACTAGTAAAGAAAGAGCACGAATTCCAGCTGAGGAACCTGCAATTATTTGCTGACATAAAAAACAGCCCCCAACCTGCGTCTCCTGATAGTGTCTTCTTCCAGCGATAGTCCCTACTCCCACCCTTTATTGATCTACGACTGAGCAAAAAACTGCCCACCTGACTGTCAGCAGAGCAGTTAGGAAGGGTCTGCCTAAAGCATCATCTTTTCCCTGTCCTGGCAATCTATTCTGCCAGGAAAGCCCAGCTGAAAGGCAGCATCTGGTCCACAGCCTACCTAAGCTTTTATTTAATTTCTCAATGTGTTTGACTGGCAGAGTTGAAGATCAAGCTAACGTTATTGCTTTGAATACCCATGCGTGAAGTACCTGTAACCCATAAGTGGTATTATAGAGTCAGAGGACTTACGGATTTGTAGGACTCAGGATAAACATGGAACTGTAAGGCAAGATTGGTTTAGGCCCATTTTTTGTCAAGTCATCAACGTCTTTCTTCTCCTCTGCTTTACTTTCAAATTCAACGTTGTTCACTGAAATGTGAATTTAAGGAAACAGAAATGAGAGAGTTAAAAATGTATCTGCACCCTCCACACAGCAGGCTGCCTGCAACAGCTGGATATGCAAACAATGCAGCTGGGATAGCAAACAGCCTTTGAATATGCTGATTAAATGTGATGAACAATCATTTGATTATTATCACTGCTATTTACTACAGTATGTTATACACCGCAATTATACTCCTTAACTGCTGCACTGATGAGCAATATATCAGAAATGGCCAGGAAATGAAGATGCCCAATGCAGACAAACAAAGAAACTTTACACTTATTTATACAAGAGCTGCCAAACTGGGGATGGAAATCCCATTCCAAATATCATAGATTATTAAGGAGAGAGGATCAGCTAGGGATCCTTGGAAAGAAAAAAAGACAGTAAGTCTAACCAACTGCATAATTCTGTATCTTCTCCCATAGATCAGTAGCACAATTGGCTTTGGAATGTGTAAAACAACAAATTCATAGATAAGCTTTAATAATTTGGGGGCTAAGACTGCTGAACTTCCCAGCATTAGGAACAGAAACTTGGAAGGGACTTCTTGGACCCCCTAGCTCTGTGCCTGCATAGTGCATCCCAGTTTTGGCAGGGCTCCCCATGTATAAAGTTGTCGAACTCCATCTCACATCAGGTTTTCAACTCACGTGATCCCCTTGTAGAAGATTGTTCTGAACCTCACTCCCAAAGGTTAGAAATATGTTCTCTAATTTCCATCATAAGTTTACTTGCAGTGGGTTTATAGGATAATGTACTTAAGATAATTTCCACTATATGAACTGGAAAACATTTAATGTTGCAAATTCTTAGACAGATATATATACTTGTCTATTAATTCACAGAACCTAGAATGCAAAAACCCCACCCACTTATAATGTGTTAGGCGCAGGTTTTTATTACTTTTTGCTTTATTTTGTAATAAAATGACATTATTTTGTGAGTGACATGTTCAATAAAGTCCTTATTTTATCTCAAGCCAGATAACACAGGAAATGGTCAGGAAAGAGAGAGGCTGATAAATTGTGATTGACAGGAATTCAGTATTGCAATATAGTAAAACTACAATTTAAGAAAAAAGAAGAAAGAAGAAAAGAAAAAAAAAACAACAACCAAGTCTTGTGTGACTGACAACACAGTGAAAAAGCATGCAGAGAAACCCCTAGTTTTTGGCTGTGCCTCTTGGAAAGCAGAGTCCTGACAGCCTGCAATCTAACATGGACCTTTTAGATTTCACACTGCAATCCCCATTGGCACCCCCATCTCTCAAGACTTCTCGAGGCTGTGCCAACACTGCCAGGGATGAGCCACAAGCTGGTCGGAACAGGCTGGTGTCCGGGTGGCTGCAGAGAAAACCATGGGCACAATGAGCTTGGGACTGTCTGCAAAACAGTGTAAATCTGTGCTGATAGACCCAAGGCACAGAGCTCTGGAAAAGGACAATCTGGGGTGGATCTGCTGAAACTGAGATGCAGAGGATTGCAAGCAGCTCTAAAATTACATGGCCTGCAGGAACCCAAAGCAGCAGGGTCACATGATGGATGCTGTGATGGCTGTGCAGCCATCAAAGACCTGCTGCTGCACAGTGGCGTCAGCTAATAAGCCAAGAAGCGTGAATTCAGACTGTGGGCTTGAATGCAATACCACTGCCTCCCCTGTCCTTTGCTGAGGGGTCTGTGGCCAGTCAGGCCCCTGAGACACCAGAGGAACCATAGCACAGCACTGATGGAGCAAGAGCTTGAAGCATGGCAGCAGAGGAAGGTGATAAAGCAGAGAACCTACTCCCATGCTCACAACAAGATCTTGACCGGTTTGCTGCAGAAGCTGTTTATTTTGCTGCGCAGCTCTCAGTTACTACATTTTGCTGCTTTTCTTGTTCCTTCATCTTTCTCTTTTGCGAAGATACATGGATGTGTTCTGGGTAAGCCATCTCGAGGGAACTTTACGTGGTGTTTCCCAGAGCCACCAGGTGACCCCGGTGGCCCAGGAACCCATTTTGGGTTCCTGCAGGCTGCATGAATTGTAGAGCCTATATCAACAAGTTCTCCTGTCCACCTATTGCAAGAATGCTGGTGGCCAGGAGAGCCCCCATCACGCAGTGGGTGCTGCTAGCTCCTTGGAAAGTTAGCTCCTTCCTGGCAATTTCATAGCAAAAAAGCAGGGGGACAAAGGCACTCACTTGGTATGACAGTGGTTTCCCCTGGTGGGGCAGTGATAGTGACAGGGATGTTCACAGTGGTGGTTTTGTCCAGAGGTGGCTGAATCATCCGTGTCACGTTCTTCTGGTTGTCAGCATCTTCTGGCTGCTCCGGCACTTTCTGCAGATAGGTGCTGGGAAGGGTGTGCACAGGGACACTCACACTTCCACTAGCCTCAATCTCACACTGATTTTCCCTAAGGTAGAAAAGCATATTTTATTAAACATGGCCCAAGAAGGATTCAGAGAACATATGTACCCTGACGCTGCACCTCTTGCTAGGTTTCATAGACTGTTTTCTTCATGGAAGTCCTTTGCAGAAAAGTCACAGACTGCAGGACAACTTACTGATAGCACAGCATGTGACCTTTTCTTCTGTGACCTTCTGAACCAACATCCAAGCACAACATGAAGAACAACTGTGCTACTGAACGTCACTCTATTCAATTTAACAAGACTTGGAAGTGAGGTTCATAAGCAAGGACGACATGGCACTTGCGTGTAACAGTGACATTAGCTTTGCAGCATCAGCTGGTTTCTGAATGAAGTCTGACATTCTGTTTCTTAATGTTCTCCTGAGGCCTTATTTAAATTTGATGATTCTCTTTTCCAGTCCTAAACCACTCTGTAATGTTGCTGTAAGCAGCTAAATAGCTTCTGCATTCCTCTGCAGCAGTGGCTATATTTCAGTGAAGAGGAAAGTGGGCTTGTGCACATGATCAAACTAAACAGTATGCAAAGTGTTTTGAAATCCATCTGAAAGGAAGATAATATAGGCAGGAAAATTATTATCTCTGCCACTCACAGCTCTCCATGGTGACATGAACTCTATTCTAAAGAATCCCAGTGAAATTTCTTTTCCATCAGACTAATAAAGCTGAAAAGGCAATCTATCCTTCTTTATTAACTACTCTAAATGCTTCACGAGTACTATTTTTCTCACTTGACTTACATAAGAATTAAACCAAATGGGGTACATGATTGTTCTTAATGGAAGAAGCCACGTGCTGTAACAACTGGTGATGCAGCTGACAGGCTCCCCATAAAAAAAGAAAACCAAAGGGCTATAAGCAAGACTGGATGCCATTTAAAAATATGTCCCTCAGAAACTTCCTTCAGAGGCTGTGAAATTCTCTGCTCCATGTTATGTCCTAGATGGTCTGTTGGTATTTACATCAAGGATATTTCCTTCCTTAAACCTGAGCTATTCTATGGGCCATCATGGACCAAAATCATCTTTGGGACCCTCTGTCATTACTGATTTAAGCAAAATGGAACTGCAAGTTATAGTGGTAGCTGGTGTGAGTGCAGGAAGAACAGCAGGGAACACCATGAGGAGGGGAATAAGTAATTTCCTGAAATGCGTCTGGGGTCTCATGCCTGCCGAGCTGTCCCAGGGACAAGTCCGGCCACACAGCACTCACTTACTTGGGCTGATGATTCCGGTGCTCCTTCTCGCCAGCCTCCCCCTCCTTCTCCCCGTTCTCCTTCTCCACCGAATCGTACGTTGACAGTGCCCTGTTCCTGAACCTGTGCCGTCTGTGAGGCTCTTCTCCATTCTCACCCTTAGACCCAGGCTCTCCTTCCCGGTTCCCAGACCTTGACCCTCCCCGGTGTCGGGAACGTCGCTCGCTCCTGGCCCCGTTGATTGTCCCGTTGCCTTCCTTGCCTTGCCGTTCAGCAGAGTGCCGGTGAGTCCGATGCCTACGGTGCTCCTTCTCAGCACCTTCTTCCACTGACCCTCGGCGATGATGCCTCTTTCCCCCTTCTTGACTCCTGTTGCGATCACTTTTCCCTTCCTTACTCCCCCCTTCCACCTCCTTGCTGCGGCTCCTGTGCTGCCGATGCCGCTCCTCCTTATTGTTGGCACCAGATTCCCCATTCTCATCCTTAGTCACATCACCCTTTTCTTGCTCTCCCAGTTTGTCCTTATCCCGATGCCGGTGGTGCTTTCGTGGAGCTTCTGCCCCATCAGTAGAGCTGACTTTGGTCTGCTCCACCTCCTGCACGTCCACAGGGCTCAACTTGCTAATGTTGTTCCTCCCTTCGCCCCTTGGCTCTACCACCAGCGGCCGATCCAAATGAGTCTTCATGTCTGGCCTGATGTGAAGGGTGGTAGCGTAACGCACCCGCTCCTCCGGATCCAGCTCGTTGTACAGTGCCTCGCAGCTGGCTCGGAAATTGTGCATCCGGATCTGGCTGGTCCTCTGCTCCCAAACAGACTTGGATTTGGAGGAGTTCTGCTGCTTGCTAAGGAGGGGAGGAAGGTGAAAAGTTAGTATCCAACTTTGCACCAATTCCCTAAAAAAGCAACCAAAAAAAAAAAAAAAGGAGGAAATTTTCAGCTGAGACGGGGGATTAGAGGGTTGAGCCAAAGAAATTATAGGAATGAAGAGAGAATGGCTGGCGGAGAACATGAGCAGGGAAAGCCAGCAGGATCATCAGTGTTAGTTTGCGCCCACACGCGTTAGGCACTATGAAACAGGCCCCCTGGAAAGGCGTTATCTTGATTTCTAAAATGCGGCCATCCCCCTTGGAAGCCTCAGGTACAGTCTGAAGGGTTAAAGTCTCTGCACACAAAAATCATATAGCACAGCCAGAGCTTTTAAACAGCCTACAAGGGTTCCCCACAATTAACAGCACTTTTTTCCCCTGGAAACATCTGGATGAACAAATTAGCAGTGAGCAAGAGAAGTTAGATTGGCAGGAGAAGTGAGGGGAAGTGAAATCTCTCCCTGAGGATCCAAGCCTGAGCACCCTGCCACCAGCCCCTTCCCCTTACAGCCAGCCAGAGGGGTCACTTTCCAGGCTGCACTGCCTCGTCGGCTAATGGCACAGGAGAGCCGTTGCTCTAAACCCGCAGTATCCTTCCGAGGTGAGGATGGACCATCCAGCCCAAGCATCACCGGAGTCTGGAAAAGTACAAGTAAGAAAGGAAAACTGTTCTGTGTACTGTGAAAAGACCCTAGGGACTGGGAGAGTCACATGTAGATGCATATGTGATGAGAGCACCTTTATCCCCTGGAGAGACCTGCTCTTCTCTGTCTCTGTCATCTGTCGTGGTGAGGATACCTCCATTGGCATTGCCTTAATGCTTTGATTTTTCAGCACAGCACTTGGTTTCTGACCACCACATGCAAATGGGTCACCTACCTAGCCAATGCAGGAAGGGAAAGCTTTTTAAATTTCCTCCTAAAGATTGCAAGTCAAATTCTGCTTTTGCATAAAATCAAAGTAAACCCACTGGCTTCCAGGGTGGAATTCTGGATTTAGCCTGGTGGAGGATCAGCACCCGTTTTCTTCCTTAATGAAACTTCTAACAAGGAGAGGAAAATCATTTTCCTTCCACCAGCCTGCTCAGATGTCTCCACTTGCCACACATTAGTCTGACCTCTGCAGCCGGAGGGGCCGCGTGGGGCTCACTGACCTCCAGCACTTAACACACAGCTCACAAGGGAGGCAGACACATTTTCCTTACATACTTTCTGGGCTCCCCTGACAATAGAATAAAGAGGCTTTTGCATGTGTATCTGCTGATTTGGACTGTCAGGGTCTGTCGCCGTGCGCAGACCCTGGGGGAGACAGCATTCGGATGGGCTCATGTAGCACAGTGGGAGCTGTCGGAAAGGCTTTGCATCTCTGAGCTCTGCTGGGGGATCAGTTCCTTACGGAGGATGCTGCTGCCTGGTTCTGCTAAAGAGGCAAAAACCTACTCAAACACTCACTGCAGATGAGATGAGGGCACCCAGGCAGATGTGAAGGAATCTGATTTAATCCAGAAATCAGAGTGAGCAGTGCTAATCACCAAAACTAAAAATCTACATCCCCCATTCCCAAGAGGCACATTCTGGACTAATTTTCAGCACGTGAGTGCCCCATTTACACCACAGCAGAAGAATGGGTGACAAAAACCACAGTTCTAAATGTAAATGATACCAGAAGGTACTGGGGACACAGCTTAGAGCCCCACTCACCAAAAATCCCACATGAAAGGGAGAGCAGGCTCCCCCTTAGGGGAGAGCACTCACCAAGCTGCCCTAGTGATCCCTGGCACAAGGATGAACAGCCTCATCATAGCAGGCAATAACTTGCCATATATTTTTAGTTCAACATTACGAAAGACTGAAATGCTATCACTCATCAGCAGATTTACTTGGTTTTAGAAGGAATTAATGAGTAACATGCAAAGCCTCTGACTGCCCACACCTGCCACCCCATACAAGGCTCTCCTATAACAAGCCATGTGCTCTGCATTTGCAGCCTTCCACAGTCAGCAGAGATGGGCACAGAGAGATGGAGCTGCCTGGGGCAGGCATCCCGGGATGTCCTGCACGTTGTCTGGGATGGATGGGGTGCTTTGCTCTGCAGTGTTCCTGATTTAGCTCTGCTAAACTGAACTGGGCTACAGAAATGAAGCTCCTCTTTAGCACACAGGCTCAGGGAAACAGACAGCTTAGGGATGTGTATGTGCATGTCCGAGCTTCCCAAGCGCTGCCTTGGTGCAGACCACCAAACGCATTTGTTCTTAGGGAACACATGTCAACTTCATAATGAAAGTCCTCGGGGTGGGGACCGGCTTCTGCTTTGTGCTTTGAACACACAGAGCGAGCTGTCAACACTGAAGTCATAACTAGTAATAATGAGTTAAGAGTTGGGAAACTGCCCTTATGCTGACTGAAGCCTTCAATTTATCTACAGACCAAGAGCACAGAGAAGAGCTCAACCACCTACGCCCCATGCACCATCCTGTGCGCCATTTCCATGGGACAGGCACCACACAGGGGTGGGACGCAAAGCCCAAGCCTCCCTACAGAGGCTCTCCAAAGTAAAACACACAATAGATCATCAGGCAACCTTCACAGACACAGCTTCTCCGTTAGTGCCTGTGCTGAGCCCATCAAAGTCAAGATATAAAGAAAATTTCCTAAATCAGACTGGATGTGGTGAGGAGGAAGGTTGAGGATGCAGGGTTGGTACTCATTGCACAGTGCAGGGGAGACACTCAGAACCTGCTAGCTCCGACACAAGATATATCACTTCAGGAGGTGTTTTTGTAGTTGTGTTTCAGCTAACGCCATGAACATAAATCAGCCTTTAAATTTAGCACCCTGAGGTGCTAAAGCTTCCACTGTACCTCACTCATGGCTAACTGAAAGGTGCTGCCAGGTACAAATATCACAGAGAATCTGGAGAAACCAAGTAATGCACATATTAACTAGGACTATTTTGCTAAAATCCCTTCCTTAAAACAGACACTGACATTACAGACTCGAATTTCTCAGCATCTAGAAATGCGATGTATCCTTAACATTGACACAAGTAGCGAAGGTGACTGCCAAAAGACTACAACACTCAGCCACCCACTGGCTTTGGTTACTAACAAGTCAAAGAGCAGGAGTTTCAGAAGTAATGACTACATCCTTTCTTCTTTCTACTTGAAAAGACACACACACACACAAAAAGTAAAATCAGAAAACATATGAAGCACAGTAAAAACCCAGTCAGGAAAATGTGAAACCTGCCTGCAAGCTCATTATCATATTCAAACCAGTCAAGAACATCAGGGACAAGTGACAGTGCACATAAGGTCTGCTGTAGGAAATGGAAGTAAAGCAACCAAGCAGGTTGGTCCCTCTGGGGACAGTGTTTAGGGTTTTCAGAGCCAAAGTGGCAGCAACTGGAGGGAATGCATCATCTGCTTCTCCAGTTAAATTTATCTGACTCTTGTTTTCTACAAGTTCCCACAGCAACTGAACATGGACATACGTGACAGCTTCTCCTCTCCTGTTGCTCTGCTGCAATTCTTCACAGAGGAGAGCTTTTGGACTTATTTATGGCACAACAGGAATGTCACCTTAAAACAAAACACAGTCTCATTACAACTGCCTGCCTGTGAGGATACGGTGCCTCTGCACACAACACAAAGAATTGCAAAAGAGATGGGAAAACATAGACAGGGCAAAAATCATTTCCTCTGCTTCCTCCAGCATTTGGTCCAGTTAATTATTGAGGGCTGCATGAATTGGGGCAGACACAAACCTTCTACAGTACATGCACGACATGCCATAGCATAGCATGACTTGTCCAAACTGATAAAAATGAGCCTTTGTGATAATAAATATTTTTTCCACAAGAGAAAACTATCTATTTATGAAGCCAACTCCTTATCTGAAATCCTGTTCACTGTTTGCTTCTTAAAATCCTTCTGAATACATTAAGAAAATTGCAATATTCACTTCTGATTTACAGACATAGTACAAAGATTAATGTCAACTCACTTTCTTTACAATTACTTCCCATCCCTATTTTCTGTCTACAGAATATTTCAAACTCTTTGAAGGGTACTGGCAATATACTCAGTTTTCAGGTCCTCTAAGCTTGAAATGTTGCAGTAGATATTATTATTGCTAATACGCTTCTCTGAGTAGCTCCAGTGGTTTTGCTTGGATTAAGAAACCAGCAGTCAAACAACTGCCTGTGGCTAGAAAGAAAACCATACAATTCATGTAGAATCAAATAAAATTCATATTAATGAATCAGTGACTAATATTGGTATAAATAAAAACTGTAACCAGTCACTGTGTAAAATGTTCAAGAAAGGAAAGCATATTTTTAGTCATATTCTAATCTTAGGATATTCCTTAATGCTTAAAGATTTTGTTATCATAACCTCTTAAAACACTTCTTCAGTTAACGGCACTTTGTTTCCCAGAACTACTGGTTTAATCAGCTACATAAATGCAATCCTTAAAATTTTGCTTTAGTAAATAATGAATGAAAGCTATGAACATAATAATTTGATGTTAAAAATACCTACAGATGAGATTGTGGCTATGAAAGAATATGTTCTGATTACAGATGAAAGGGAATTTCTTGTTAAAATACAGTTTCAACAAAAAATGCAATGCAAAAAACCTTTCCACTAAAATCATATTTTCTGTTCATAAACTTGGAGAAGCTCTCTCCACGTTTCAATTTTCCACTTGGAAAATACAAGGAAGCATTTTAGTTCAGGCTAGGCATGCACAAAGCAGAATGTTTTATCTCTGGCTTCATAAAACAATTTTCTTTCAGATGAACTCACCACTAGTGTTTAAATTTGCTTTGCCAGTGACCCCAGGAGTTGCCGCTTGGATGCTTTAGCACCTCTTCTTCTTTATGAGCTACATCTCCCACCTGAGCTCTCTTGCGAGATGCACTGTGCTCTCCCACCGAGCTGGTGCAACGGTGTGCATCACAGAAACGCCATT